GGTCGGTGGTTTCGACCGGTGAATTCACCGGTCCAACAGTCAGGTCATGAGGCTCAGCCATCAACTCACCGACACAATATGGGTATGTCCAAACATCCTCAAACATTAACTGCATGGTTGGTGGTTGACCACCCCTCTGAAAAATATGAAAGGCAGTTGGCATGATCATTCCCAATATATGTAAAACATTGTAAAACATGTTCCAAACCACCAACCAGATCAAGTAACTCTGAGTTTTTGAGAGACAACGAAAAGAGGCATAACTTAATAACGCCTTTTCGTTGCAAGTTTACAACTTTAGCATATAGCCGGTCAGTGGTTTCAGATGGTGTCAGGTTGTAGCCGCATCAGTTTGCTCCTCAGTATGCCACTTGTCCCAGTTGAGCCTTGTTCGTGATCAGCTGCACCTGCAGGGTATAGAGTGGCAATGATTCTATGCAAGGCGCACCACTGTTTGTTGAATTTCACCAATAAATGAGCAAATTATGCATAGAACTGCAGTTCCCTAAGTCGGCTGTATAAATCCAAATAATCCAAATATTTGGTTTGTCGTGACAGTGAGGCTGCTATTAAAACAACATGTTCCTAATCCTTGTTTCCCAGTGCAAATGTATGTTGTGCTTATGTGGTTATGCTTTACTTTCGCTACTCTGAGAAGGGCAATGCAGAAGTGAGTGAACCAATGCCCATATCGGATTATCGACACCATCACATGACTTATGATATACAGTAAATGACAGCAATATGGAACCTGGAACCTGGAAACATTGATGATGTTAATGAAACATGGCTGGCTAGGAAATCTCAACCTTTCAATGGAAAAACGTAGGAACATCATCCATAAAATCATTTCCAGGTGTTTGACTGAAAACAGTTTTTTCACGGGCAAATTCCCTCGAAATCCACTGGTTTTTTCATGTTCCCCATTAAGAATTGCTATTTGTGGAGTATGCCTCATTTTCAGAGAATACTGATGTGGATCATATATCGGGGGATGTTCCAGTGCCGATGATTTGAAGAGACATAGCGATGATGTCAGATATTCATATCCAGTTTCATATCCGGTGTCCTTAAAAAACGGTGTCCTATATCTTTATATATCTAAAAATTGGGGGTACCCTACTCGTCATCCAGCTTTTTTGGGATTTTCCATCAAAAACCACCCAGCTATTGGGGATTCTCCTCCCAACCTTGAAGGGATTCTCCTTGAAGAGCTCCAAGGCCTGAACACCCCGGGTGGAGAAATGCTGGGTGGCTGTGATCATTTTATGGCAATAAAACTGGGAACATTAATTGATAAATATTGATAATGTTGGGGATGCTCAATGTAAATCATCAAATGTTGGGGGTACCCAATATTTTCGGATAAACCCACATGTTCTTGAAACATCTGTCCAGATTCGATGCTGAGGCCCTCTAAAGCAGCTATTTCTTAGCTGTCCAGCCCCAATAACGAACAGCTTCAGAAGAGACCCATGCATCACTCGGTCTAAGTGGCCTAGGTATCACGGCTGGGGAAATACATGGGTTCCGTAAATTGGTGATTCGCCATTGTGCTTGGTTACGCACAGCATCACGCAGCCATATCAGTTATCTATAGTTATATACCCGAGGAAGTTTGACTAAAACCAGAAACTGGATCAAATTGGTTGGACACTTTTAGTGTAAATCTTCCAAGAAAAAAAACTTCTAAATTTGACCATCAAAGAATCCTAGTGTTGGTCATATTCTCAGTGGCTTCAGCCCATCCACACAAGATGTAAAAAAAGGGAGCGTCGATCCAAATAAGATTGTAGATTACAACAACATGATTGAAACCACACATTTTCTATACCAATTTCTAGTGATACCTGGCGACATCCCCAGGGATTGTTAGCCTTTTTTGCCGTTTCTTAGGGTAGTCATATTGACGATGGATTTTTCGACGGATTGTTTCCTGGTCCCCACAGGAACCACTCCTGTACCTTCCGATATCTCTGGCAACCGACTGGATGGCCATTTCCTGACTACTCATAGCTCTAATATCATCATTTATCTACATGCTTGTTACCCTCTGGCAATTTAACATTTCGCTATTGAACATGGCAGATAGAAATAGTTGATTTATTGAGATTTACCATGGATTCACCTACAATTTAGCTCTTAAAAATGATGATGTTCCATCGTTTTTGGTTTACCAGAGGCTATCTCCCCATGGGATTCATGATCCCATCATCGGCCTCTTCCTTGGACAGCACACATCGCTGGAAGAGTTGCGACTCCTGGAAAATTCCGCAAGAAATGGGCTGTAAAAACATGTGTTTACTAAGATGGAACAACCATGGAATAACATTGGTAATTATATGCTATATGACTTATTATCTAACCAATATAACTTACCAAGAATTATCCAAATAAGTTGGTGTATATTCAGGCCAACTACATCATATGTGGGGAAAATGTCTCATTAGACGGGCCTTTTTGAAAAGCGTCCTGTAGAAGCCCTGGTTGGTCTCAGGGGTTCAACAGGGATGGTGAAGGGCGAAGTGAAGGGTCCCATTTGAACAACACATTTCCACGGTCTTCCATGCTGCGAAGGGTTTTCATTGGACATCTACCAGCCCTGCAACCAACAAACATAACCCCAAACAAGGAGGAGTGCTGTGGGTCCATGCCGTCTTGGTTGATCCCCTTTCTCTTTGAAATGACCATATTACCCTCTGGTAATGACTAACGTAGCTATTGAACATGACCATTGAAATAGTGGATTTTCCCATTAATAGCATGGTGATTTTCCATAGTTATGTAAACGTTTACCAGAGGGTATGCCATACTCATGAATCATTCTCATGAAACCCTCCGGTCATCAAACATGCTATTAAGTATTTGCCCCAAAAAACACCCCCTAGCCTGTGATAGTTGAATGTGGCAGTTGAAAATTCTAGTCTATAAGATGTCTTAATTAATTAATGGAGCTAGCCATGTTTGGTTTGATGGTGCAAACCCTGAAATGACATCATATATATCATATGACATCCCCAGTCCTTGCAAATCTGCGTGGCGTGCTCGTTGATGGACTTGAAGTCATTTTCGTTCAGTTTCCTGCCCCCGGCCCGGTACGGTCTTGCCATCATGGTGATATCTAGGCTGCGTGGCGTCTCTCCTCTCGCCAAAGAAGCCATCATAGTAGAACCCCGACCTGACAGCAAGACACTCAACTGGTTTCTCTTTGAACACCCCACATCTCTGCGGCAGCCTGATCAACAGATGGTGGGACAGGCAACAGTACCCTGGCTTATCCCGTTTCTAGGTACCCAATGATTTGACTCATACCCAATGTAATCCAAATACAGACTACGAAAGGAAAGGTTGGTTGGGAAATCATCATTTGGCTGGTGATTCCTCTGGCCGCCCCAAAACTTGGAATATCTTCGGATCACAATGTACAGCCGAAGACGTGCGCTCAGCGAGCTGGGTGTATCATTTGGGAAACATAGCAATAGAGACTCTACAAGCTCTTGATGATTCATATTCCCTCCGGTGAACGAACATAGCAATGAGAAATCCGAAACTTTGTAGCTTCCCACATCCTTCAACAAAAGAATCAAAAGAATTTCTGCCAAGTTAGAACCCCCAACCGCTCTGCTTCAGCTATGGCTATGGGTGAGAAGTGCAGTGATATCCAGTGCCGGCTGTTCAGCCCGAGCAGTCTGTGAGCTGATTCCCCTAGTCCCAACCCCATCGAGGTTAGCCGTCCCTGTAGATTTGCCCAGATCTATCCTGCTATGTTTTCTTGGAATATCATGGAATATCCTAATTACTTGGCCAATCAATTCAATCAAAATACTTTTGCTTTGAGGAATCCACACATCATATATGTGTCAATAAATTTATTTGGGTCAGCATCCGAAATCGTTTTTTTTCCCAATCTTCAGGTTTACCCAGTTAAGTTAAACTATAGTCGTGTTGAGCTTGAACAAAAACTCGAACAATTCCCAACTATTTATGGCCAATGCAAACATAAATTATATCACATCATAAAACTTTGGTCAACAAAACTGGTCAACAAAAACAGTCAACATCATAAACCCACATGTTTTTCGAAAAATCTCCAGGGCTACCCCATTCCCCAGGGTCATTCCCGTGGTTTTCCAACGGCTTCCGCTTCGGGGTCCGGGTGCCCCCGGGTGCCCTCCGGGTGCCCCAGCTCCAAGGCTGGACCGATCGTCAGGTGGCAGCCGAACTCGCGCTCCATGGCCTGACCTGGGGCGTTTTTTTCGATGGCGAACGATGGTAGGATTTTTCATGGTGGTTTTTCATAGGATGAACATAAGGACACTATATATATATATGTATATGTATGTATATGTGTATATATTATATATACAATGTAATATATATATATGTATATATATATGATACATATATATATGTATGGAGGTTTCTTGAAATGGGGGTACCCCCAGTCATCATCCATTTTAGTGGGATGGTCCATTATAAACCATCCAGCTATTGGGGTACTACCATTCATGCAACTCCCCATATATTTATCTATTTATCTATATATATATATATTGTAGATTTAAGACAATGTGAAATACAATATCTTGTTCATGACATGTGATGTCTTTGGCTGATCAGTACAAAACCATGTAAAACCATTTCAACAGGTGAGCAGAAACGTAACCAGGACACATGTATAAGGCATTCAAAGACAGTGCGGTCATCAGCTAAGGATGTTTGGACGCCAAGAAAACACATTTGAGTGCGAGTCTATTGATCTCACTTAAAGTTCAGTGCTGGCAATTGGACCACCTTAAAAGATGCTTCTGATCTTGCAGCTTCTTGGAAGTTGGTGCTCCCTATGGTTGTTTGATGTTGTTTTAGGGAAAACCCTTTCAACAAGAAGAGTTTTAACAATCAAGAGTCATCTATAGTCATCTACTACTGACAAGTCTTCCAGGCTTCACCAGGTGCCGAATCCCGTGCTCCGCGCGCAGCGGTTTGCGCAGGTCTCTTTTGTCTCACAAGCGTAGCTTGCGGGTGTCGATGTTCCCTTTCTGCAGCAGTTTCATGAGCCTGGGAGGTGACTGTGTCCGCCACATTAGCATCCAGGTACCAGTAAAAAAAATGTGTTTGTTTCCTACAGTCTTTGTCCATCTGGAACTGTAGCTTTCTGGCTCCAAAGACCAGTCATTGAAACACATCACATGTCTACTTTAAACACGATCCTCTGCGATATACATGGTTTCCAGATTTTTTTCCATGTTCTTCATCCATCCATGATGTGCCGCCCAAAAAAGGTGCTGCTTCCCATCTATGGCTCGCATAGATGGAATGATCAAACAATGGGGCTGTTTCGCATTTCTTGGAGCATTGCTCCCAAAACAAACACGTGGACTCAAATGCTGACAAGGTATGACAAGGATTGAAAAGGTACTCATATAATTCACCCATCTTAAGCCATCTTAAGCCATCTTCAGCCATCTTCAGCCATGTTAGCCCCTAAAAAATCACTGCCCAGCCATACTTCCCACAAAACCTCAATCCTCGCCTGTGCCACTCCACTGCCAACGGTGTGGTGGATGAACCCCTGAGGTCCTTGGGCTCCAACATGGGAAAATCATAGGGGATACCCTCTGGTAAAACAGTTCGCGAACTGGAAAATCACCATTTATACATAGTGGAGTTTTCCATTAATAGCATATCATGGATATTTACAGTCATGTTTTTTTTTTTTCCATGGATTTACCCTGGTAAAACAAATGGTAAAAAAAATGGTTAATCCATGGTTAATAATAGTTACCCTCTGCATGGTAATGACTAACATAACTCGCGAACTGGAAAATCACCATAGATTTATAGTGGATTTTCCCATTAATAGCATGGTGATTTTCCATAGTTTTTTGTATGTTTACCAGAGGGTACAATTGGATATGGCCATGGAAATAGAATGTGAAGTGCTATACTCCGAATCTAAGAATGAACAGAAAAAATAGGACAATGATTTAGAAAAGGGAATTGTTCAATGGCCATAAGAAATTACCAGAAAGTACCTGGCACTTCTGCATCTTGTTTTTGGCTAGGTTTTAGATCAATAGATGAATCATCATGAACAATTCATGAACCATGATATATTTGGAGATTTCCTGAAATAGGGGGTACCCCCAGTCATCATCCATTTTAGATTGGGATTTTGCATGGAAACCATCCAGGGGATCCTATGGAAAGCGATGGCAAGAGATTGCAATGGGATCCACCAGCTGACCTATTCCCATGGCAATCCTTGCGGTTCCCCACGAACCTTGGTTCAATCCTGGATCAATTCTTGCTGGTTCAGCATCACCATTTTCTTTGGTTTTCCGCTCCCCATGTTGCGCACCAAGATACACTCGTCATCTGTGAGAACTCGAACGTCATATGATGTCATATGTTACGTCGTGTATGAATGTAGCAAGAAGTGTGATATATCTCCGTCACCAAGATCTTGCCGCTCTGGGTCTCCACACCAACTGCTGAAGGTCTTTGGCCTCGATCGATGAACCGGAACCAATGCAGACAAAGTTTTATATGGCTACTGCGGGGGTTGATCAAGGATAAACAGGTTTATGTGATTTTATATGGTTTTATACAATTTCCATATTTGATTACAGTAATCAGATTAACTATCCCATCACTCTATAGTAAATTGTAGTCTAGTAGCCCAAACCTAAAAGATACATAGGCTAATGGGTCGTACACAGAAAGAGGGAACATATTTGGGAATTTCAAACAATTATTGTGATAATAACCAATGATTAGCGGCAAATGGGTTCATGAACCCAAAACTGTGAATAGCAAAAACCAAGCATTCTACATGGATGCAATGGGAGATCATGGGATAACAAACAGTCGCATTACCGGGAACAAGAGATTTTTCCGAGAATAGAACTATGGAAGGGGTAGCCATTTTTTTGAGTGAGATCGCTGTGAGGTTACTTCCTGGTTTCGTGAAATGCTATGAAGGTCCTCACCCGTACGAAGTATGATCATATATGATAATTACTTCGCCAATCTAAGATACCCAGCAACAAATCAAACGCTTAGCTGGTGAGGTTCATGATAATGCATCCCCTTCCAAATAGAAGTTTCCTAAAAGAAATAGGTAGCCCAAGTCAACATGGGTTTCAATACTAAGTTACTAAGTCATTGTCATCCATGACGACTGGGTGATTTGGGGTACCCCCAATCTCACCAGAAATAGGTGAGAAATAAACCATTCCCAAATGGCTGGTCCTACATTAGTAAATGGTGGTATAGTATATTATATATTCACCACACATAGGTGGTATAAATAGTATAAATCATTCTCACATGCTGAAATATAGGTGAAATAAACACCTATATTTTTATGATTTGTGGTGTTTTCATGATTAAACATGTTTTTGTTTGTATGAAACAACAAATTTAACTATGGCCCCACGCCAGCAGCATGGAGCGCACCAAGGCGTCGATGCCCAATATGGTCATGGCCTGCCAAGGGATGTTATATATATATACACCTTAAATTGTTGTGGTATATATATATATATTATTATTTATGTATTGTTATACTATTTAAAATATATTGTTATATATTATGATATGATATATTATTGTAGTTAACTAAATGGAAAACTGATGTTGATTCCGTTGATATAGAACTTTCCCCATCGATGTGTTTGGAATACAAGTGAGTACCATGACCCTGGAGAATTCAATTGCCACAAGTGGGACATGTATGTAATTGCCATCAACGTAGTATATAACTGGTTGGTGGTTTTAACCATCTTGAAAAACATGAAAGTCAATGAGAAGGATTATCCCATATATTATGGAAAAATAAAATTGATCTTCCAAACCACCAACCAGATAATGTGTATAAAGTGTCATCTGCCAGCGAAGTTGGGCAAATACAGCATGCGTGCTTGCTTTGTTAAAAGGCGCAAACATGTATCCCACACATGATTTTCTGGCACCAGCGATGTGGACACTTAGCGCCTGGGAAGGTGTTTACTGAGTTTACTATCAGCGCAAAAATTGTTGGCCCATAGTTCCTGAATGGGTCTCTCAACCAGACTAGGTGAGTCTCTCTTCCCCATGTTTGCTGGTTCCATCCCTGCATAAATGTTCATGGAAAGAAGGGCGCCTCATGTGTGTCATGGTCAAAAAATTGTATATGGCTTATGGTCATCCCACTAGTAGTGATTCCTTATAATGGGTATAGAAATCCCTATCATTGACCGAGGCTCGTATCTTCCGATCTGTGTATCTAGATGTATCTAGTCCAACTAACTTGATCATACCATGGTGTGCCTACTGGTCAAGCAAAGCCATGTCTTGTTACTTTTGCTACTTAAACCCCATTTTGACTTATCATTCCCATGGTTTATCATCACGTTTTCCCTAGTTTTGGAGATTGGAATTTCCACATCTTTTGTGGTGGGATCTGCTTCTGCTGAGCTTCGTTTCCAGCCAAGCGGAGTGACCTGCGGCGATGACCATGATGGGTTGATGGCAACAATTGGTTCACAATGAGGATTTCATGGGAATTATCATAATCAAAATTAATCAAAGTCTGAAAATGCTGGATTTATCGTGATTCATTTAGAAACAACAACAACAACAACACTATCAAAACCAAAGAAAACCATGGTCAACGTCACAAACAACAACACAATCACAACGAGGAGAATGAGGATGGACCAGGATGTATATATATATAATTATATATAATTATGATACTGATACGGTTGGTCATCGGGAATATTCGAGTCTCTCTTCGGGACTGACCTGGTCATACAGTCATACCTTGCAAAATCATGGGATATGTGGGGGTTCAACATCTTGGTACATCTACACACAGTTTCCTACTATACATGTAACGGTATGTTCTGCCTTCCCAAATATCATATACTATCATAAACTATCCTATTTGTTGTTCTTCCGACTATCATCGTTTATCTATGTTTTTCTCATATACGACATGGGTATCCTTCCAACATATGAGTTTGTCTAACACCCACCCCAAAGACCAGTGTTTAAACATTCTCTCCATTCAGGTTGCCATACATTGGGGCACTCGTCATTTTTTGGACAAACCCATCATACTGTTGGTTTTCCTATGGTTTCCTATCTGAATCCCTCAAAAATGTTGATTTCATGAACCAATTTCCTAGTCAAATCCACCAGAAAAATAGACATCCATAGGTGGCGTGACGAATTCTTGCCCGTGATTGTGGGCCTCAAAAACGGCCAACGAGTGATTGTCTTTGAGGTGGCCAAAGCTGCTTCATCATCCAAGTTCGCCTCAGGTAGAGAGTGGATCTTTACCAACAGAAACATACCCTAAGGTACACAAACAGAAAGAGTCGGAAAACCCATGGATTCCCTTGGAAAATGATCCACACATGGTGGGTTTTCAACATCTATTTTTTAAAAAACTACAGGGGTGCAACATGTTAATGCTTTCAGTAACAAAAAGTATCTAATGGTTGGTTGACATGGTATTCATGGGTATTCAATGTCTTGGTTTAAGGGATGAATTGATGGAAACCATGACTTTTGTTCACCTCTTAGTTCTACGAGGTATTTTGTTTGTGGTCTACGTTGCTCATATCACGTGATATAATCTATCACCGTCAGTTCATTAAGGGGACTCTGATTATCAAGACACCTACGAGGATATACTATTCTGAATGGATTTACATTATTCAATCGACATAAAATAATACCAGTAGTACCGCACAAGGCGGTGGCGGAAGTTTCAAAAATAGCAAACCTATAGGAGAGGTTGGTTGTTGTGAATCACGGATGGCAGAGCGAATCATCCACTGACGGACCAAAAAGTGGTTGGAGTTGTGTTTTTTGGAATGGTTGCGATGGTTGCAGTGGTCACCTGGCCGGTCACCTCACTCACAACTGCTGGATGTAGTGTGGTGTAGTGCAGCTGTAGTTGTAGCTATAGCGTAGTGGAGTTGTAATTGTGGTGTAGTGTAATTACTGTAGTGTAGTTGCAGTTGCATTTGTGGTGGTGTAATGAGTGTAGTGTAACGTAAGGTAGTGTAGTGTAGTCTAGTGTAGCGTACTGTAAAGTAGCGTAGTAGTAGTTGAAGCTGTAGTTTTAGTTAATGTAGTGTAGTGTGGTGTGGTGCGGTGTGGTGTAGTGTGGTGTAGCGTAGTGTAGTGTAATGTACTTAGTGTAGTGTAATCCAGAGTTAGTTGTAGTTGTAGTTGTAGTTGTAGTTGTAGTTGTAGTTGTAGTTGTAGTTGTGGTGTAGTGTAGTGTAATTGAGTGTAGTGTGTCAAGTGAAGTAGAGTGTAGTGTAGTGAAATTGGTGTGGTATAGTGTAGTGTAATGTAGTGTAGCGTCGTGTAGTGTAATTGAATGTAGTGTAGTGTAGTGGAGCGTAGTGTAGCTAGCGTAATGTAATGAAATTAGTGTAGTGTAGTTGTAGTTGTAATGTAGTCGAGTGTAGCGGAGTGCAGTGAAGTGGTGGTTGTAGTTGAAGCTGGCACAAAACCCTCATGTTTTGCTCACTTTTGACAAGGTGTACAATCCCCTGCGCCTGCCACGAAAAACGACATCTGAACGTCCAAAAGTGCTCCGTGCCCCTCAGTTTTTTGCACTTTTGACTTGGAAATGCGCTTCGCACCACAGCGGCGTGCGCTTTTTTCGACATCTCAACTTCCAAAAGTGGTCCGAGCATGCTGTGCTTTGTACATTTGGACTTGGAAATGTGCTTCGCGCCACAACGGCGTGCAACTTTTCATCTCTCATCTGGCCAGATGGCTCCGCACCCGCCGCCTTAGCGAGCCTACTTTTCGACCCTCCGGAGCCACAAATCATTGGAAAAACACAGTGTTTCGCGACTTTGCTACCTTTTCCCGCACCTGCATCTTCTGTCTTCTGACTCTTTCTCTTCCCTGATCTTCTTTCTTCTTCTCTTCTCTTCTCTGGCTCTTCCCACCTCTGCTTTTCATCTGTCCATATTGTCGGAAGTTTGACTTCTAAACCTCCTTCGATAATCAGTTAAGTTATATATCATTGGTATATCATCAACTAGTAACTACATGGTCAAATTGCTGCAAATACTGAGTGATCTGAGTGGTTCAAAGGAAATGAGATTCATTGTCTAAGTCATGCGAAAAACTTCAATTAACAAGTGGCAGTGTCAAGTTCAATTAAAGTGGCAGTGTCAAGTTCAATGAAAAAGAACTCGGCCATCGCAATATGCCACCGAACCTTTTGCGTCATGTTGAGTCCTGAAAAACATGAACACCCTTGTTCTGCGTCTTTTGAAAGACCATCCATCATCCCCTTCATCCAACTCAGTCCTTTTTGTTTTTTACGGCACCTCGGCTGCATCCAAGACCTTCAAGTTGGGCCCTAGGCCTCGGCGACGACCGGTGTCATCATGGCTGGAAAAGGGAATTTTCACATCATTTATGTATATTCATGTCACATGATAATGGATTTTCTATGAATATAAGGGATCATCACAAGGACACCGGATGATTTTCTATAGGCTGATGATGATGTTACTACTATCTAATGCCCATTTACAAGGGGATTTCTATGGGTTTCAAAGCCACTGTTGATTCGCGGGTGGTAAGTTGTTTGTTCCTGAGATCAATGTGAATCTAATTGTTGAGGATCACGAATTTGGATGAATTTGGGATAACTTTGGAGCTTGATTCGCTGCGTGCAAGCATGTTGCGGCATGCTGATATGAAACCACATCAAGAAAAACCAACCGAATTATGTCATGATTCGTAAAGTCTATCATCAACCAACATCAATCAACCATTATTTTCTACACATTTCTACACACAGTAAAACAAAAACAATTGTTTGGCCATGTTTGGCCTAAATCCCTTGGCCATGGTTCAAGTCTGCCCACCCCACCTGACAGCAGTGAGGTGAAGCCTTTACCCAGCGGATTCTTCGGCAGACTCAGTTCCTGAGGCGTCACCGGTCGTCACCGGTACCATCGCTGGAGGGTTTTTGTTGATGGAACCTCCGGACATAATTTAGATTATTTTTTGGGCTAATATATTAATTAGTAATGTTCCCAAAAAAAGGAATTAGCCCCATTTCAGGAAACCTCCGAATCTAGTCCATGGATGTGTTGTTTTATGTTTCTTTGCATATTGGCCGCAGATATCACCCATTCATAAACAAACCACACCTTGGGGAATTGGCTTACCATGTCGGATGCCCTCCGTCAATCATGACTGGCGAGAAATATCACCCAGCAGCAACTGGTTCACCTGTTGCATATGCTTGAATGGAGATGTTGCATCGTCAGCTTAGATAAAGACAGATGGTATTTTGAGGTTGTGACGTCATGCTGTCATGCCCAAGTTGACAACTAAAGCATGATAGCGTCATGCTCATTGCTTTGGTTGGGTGTCTATCTGCTAAGGAACATAATATGATCAATGAATACATACAAAACATTACAAAACTATCCCCGTTTGCTTCTTGTCGAACCACCATGTTCCAGGAAAAAACAGAATGGCTCTGCTGCCCATGCTCAACATCTGTAAGTTTGGCTCAAATGACCGGCATGCGGCATATGTTACAGTATCAAACGAACCCATTCTGTGGGGTATCTAACTTTGACCCCTTCTCACTTCTCCCATTTTATCCCTGCTTGCTTAAGACTTAAGACCATCCTGGTGAAGAACGGAAGAACCACCTTCAAAAGGAAAACAAACCTTTCCTGGTCATGGTACGTCTCCACATGAAATTGGACAATCATAGTATACTACTAACCCATCCCATTCTTCCACAACTACCCAATAACCTGACCCATCTAGGTTTGCTGATAGATTCTGGATGCCATGAACCACCAATGTCAAGCCCGGATTCATAGACCCTGGCTGACAAAAAATTAGGGGGTACCCCCAATACAAATCATCTCCAACTAAAATTTGGAACGCCATCTCCAGCGGAATTTCTGAACAAATCGACTGGCCATCCTTTTTTTTCGCCAAGCGTCTCGAAGGAAGGGACAACTCTGAAGTCCAACGCCTAAGGCCTTGGCGCCTGCGCTGGGCCGGGATTGATTTTACTGAGAATTCCTGGTGTTGTTCCTTGAAAAAATGAGGATTTTTGGATATGTGGCTGGGCAACGACAGTGGATTGTTTGGTGAAATGAAGTGGATCTTGGTGCAACTACAAGTGGTGATTCAAAGCAATCAAATTGATGATATGTACAAATCTTAACCAACAAGAAACGGGATTTGACATGATTGGACTTTCACAAGTGGTAGTGTATGCACCTGTTTAAGCCTAAGCAGGGTGAGCTACGTGAATTCGCAACTACCATTTCTGGGCCGTTACCATGACTTCCTGTTGAGAACACCTTTTGGTGTTCAAGCATGGCATTGGACAGTCCAAACATTTGTGGATTATATACGTGTTTCCCCCAAATCGGGAATGTTTAGAGCCAGGCAAGTGATATCACCCATGATTTTTAATTTCATGTTGATACTAAAATTTAGGAAATTGCAAAAACAAAATCTGTTTTCAATTGTTTTCATGGTTTATCATGTAGTATATAAAATATAAACATACAATGTGACAATCTATGTACACTCACCCACTCTCATTGGCCATCAATTCCTTGAAACCGTGATTTGTTTGATGCCTCATGAAGCACACACAAACACATGTCCATATAATATATATATGGATATATCTGGTAAATAGATATAGATATTATGACCTTTAGACATGTGTATATATATATATATATACATAGACACATCATTCCAGCATGTAAAAAAATGGAATCACAACCGGTCCATGTTCCAATCCAAACATGGGATCTACATGTTTAGTTAACGTTTCTATATGTTTATTTGTCAAATGCACAAACGCATTTTAAACAAATATCATTCAAGAAAACTTTTTCCTTATAGTATATTATAATTGTATTCACATATGTTTTGAACTTCCTTTTCTTCTTGTTTATGGATCTATGACATCTATGATATATGGATAATTATGGATCGTAGATAATCCTGCATATCATGAGGGTGCTAGGGTCATCGATAACAAACCATAGTGTAATGATAATAATCTACAATAATTCATCCATAGATAATCATCCGTTCATAATGATAGATAACAATCCAATATCAATTATCCCCAATCCTAATTATTGAAAGGTCGTAATGGGGATTTATAATCTACATGTTCATAGTTCATAATGGTTCTATGATCCATCGATGATGTGTTCCCAGTCCTAGAAACATTCCCAAATATACATAGATCAAAGATCATGTCCCAATCAATTCACTTCCAAAAAAATATAATATGATATATATATATAATGATATATATATAATATGATATATATAATGATATATATATATAATATGATATATATATATAATGATATATATATAATATGATATATATATATAATGATATATATATAATATGATATATATATATAATGATATATATATATATATAATATGATATATATATATATAATGATATATATATATAATATGATATATATATATATAATGATATATATATAATATGATATATATATATATAATGAAATATATATATAATATGATATATATATAATGATATATATATATAATATGATATATATATAATGATATATATATAATATGATATATATATAATGATATATATATATAATATGATATATATATAATGATATATATATATGATATAATGTATATGATATATATATATAATGATATATATATATAATATGATATATATATATGATATAATGTATATGATATATATATATATATAATGATATATATATATAATATGATATATATATATATGATATAATGTATATGATATATATATATAATGATATATATATATAATATGATATATATATATGATATAATGTATATGATATATTCATAATGATATATATATATAATATGATATATATATGATATAATGTATATGATATATATATAATGATATATATATAATATGATATATATATATATAATATAATGTATATGATATATATATATAATGATATATATATATATAATATGATATATATATATGATATAATGTATATGATATATATATAATGATATATATATAATATGATATATATATATATATGATATAATGTATATGATATATATATATATAATGATATATACAATATGATATATATATATGATATAATGTATATGATATATATATATATATAATGATATATATATATAATATGATATATATATATGATATAATGTATATGATATATATATAATGATATATATATATAATATGATATATATATAATATATGATATATATATATAATGATATATATATAATATGATATATATATATAATATAATGTATATATATATATAATGATATATATATAATATGATATATATATATGATATAATGTATATGATATATATATAATGATATATATATAATATGATATATATATATGATATATATATATAATGATATATATATATATATGATATATATATATATATGATATAATGTATATGATATATATATAATGATATATATATAATATGATATATATATATATGATATAATGTATATGATATATATATATATATAATGATATATATATATGATATAATGTATATGATATATATATATATATAATGATATATATATAATGATATAATGTATATGATGTATATATATATAATGATATATATAATATGATATATATATATGATATAATGTATATGATATATATATATAATGATATATATATAATATGATATATATATATATGATATAATGTATATGATATATATATAATATGATATATATATATATGATATAATGTATATGATATATATAATGATATATATATAATATGATATATATATGATATAATGTATATGATATATATATATGATATAATGTATATGATATATATATATATAATGATATATATATATATAATATGATATAATGTATATGATATATATATATGATATAATGTATATGATATATATATATATAATATGATATATATATATGATATAATGTATATGATATATATATATAATGATATATATATAATATGATATATATATATATGATATAATGTATATGATATATATATAATGATATATACAATATGATATATATATATGATATAATGTATATGATATATATATAATGATATATATATATAATATGATATATATATATATATATGATATAATGTATATGATATATATATATAATGATATATATATATAATATGATATATATATATATAATATAATGTATATATATATAATGATGTATATATATAATATGATATATATATGATATAATGTATATGATATATATATATAATGATATATATATGATATATATATATGATATAATGTATATGATATATATATATAATGATATATATATAATATGATATATATATATGATATAATGTATATGATATATATATAATGATATATATATATGATATAATGTATATGATATATATATATATGATATAATGTATATGATATATATATATGATATAATGTATATGATATATATATGATATAATGTATATGATATATATATATGATATAATGTATATGATATATATATATATATGATATATATATAATGATATATATATATATGATATAATGTATAATATATATATATATGATATAATGTATATGATATATATATATGATATAATGTATATGATATATATATATATGATATAATGTATATGATATATATATATATGATATAATGTATATGATATATATATATATGATATAATGTATATGATATATATATATATATAAATCAACCCCCAATTCCTCCATCGACTCCTGCGGCGCCGATGTCGTTCTCATCCAGGATGATGCTCTGCAACTTCTCCCCGCAGCCGATGGCGAGGGCATTGGCCAAGGCCACGGCGCCGCCGTTGCCTTCGCCAGTGCCACGGTGCCGTAACGGTGCCGTTCTCTGGGCCAGGGAACATGGAGAAAATAGCGGAATACAGGGTGATTATAGATGGTTAAAAGCTTTAAAGATGGCTAGAATCATGGTAAAATCATCCAAAATCAGGCAGACATTGTTGATGGTTGTTGATGCTTGTTGAAACATATCTCATGGAATTTTCCAGAAGCAACATGAAGCAATATGAAACAACAAAAGAAGTCGGGGGTCACTGGTGGATTGCCCGGATTGCCCTGGGATGTCCCTGGTGCTTACGCAGCGCAGATTGTGTTGGAACCGGCACGGATTGGTTGGCGATTCATGGCACCGACACGTTGAAGAAATCACTGACATCAAAACTTGATGTGACATCTTTAAATGGTATATATATAGATAAAATTATAACACCAGATATCATATAACACCAATCATATGGATAAAAAATATATATGTCTCACCAGAATGGTCGGAATCTAGGCCCAGGCATTTTGTCATATTTTGTCTCTTCCATGTGGCCAGGTCATACCGCAGTTCGGCCACCCATACCAGGGCATGTACCTCAAAAAACTGGGAACCATGATAAATAAAGCTTAAATCCCATAGAACATCCCATTACATCGCAAAAAAATCTCACCATCCAATGGTTGCTTAAATTCTCTTAAATCCGATTTTTTGATGGTTGCATCCAGATATTTGATGCTTAAACATGCTTAAACTGTTAAACCACCATAAATCTTCAATTTGTCCTTGTCAATGGAGCTTAAAAACATGGACATTTCAAGCCAGGTACCAATGCTGCAGCCCCAAATGCTGATCTCCTCCGAGACGAGATTGGAATGTCTTTTTGGCTATTTCTATGGAGATTTTCACATCTTGGGTGACCCTCTGGTTATGTCAAAATAGCTATGGAAAATCACCATTTTTAGAAGGAAAACTCACTATTTCTATGGCCATTTTCAATAGCTATGTTAAATTACCAGAGGGTAATCCACTTCTTGATTTCCAGAGTTGCTTTTGAAAGAAATTGAAGAGTAGAAACTGGGATTTAACCAGCTAGTAATAAGGCATTTAATTTCAATCCATGAATAACGAACTTGGGTCTGTCTGAAAATGCGGTACACCAGTATATAGCTCCCAAATAGCCATCTTAAATCATCTTAAGAGAAATGTTGATGATTCACAAATGGATGAAATGTGGTACTCTATTTTCTGACAAACTCATATCAAACTTATCAAACACATTTTTTTTTAATGGGGTCGGGTGATGATTATCAACCAACCAAAATACCTATTGAAGCGGTAGGACGTACCCGTGCAAACGTGCGGATGTACCCCAACACAGGAAATGGTCAATAGATGCTACCCTCGGGCAATTATAACATGGCAATGGAAAATCGATCAATAGATGATTGTCCCATTCAATATTAAAACACCATTCATAGACGTTTTTTTCAGCTAACCTTGTTTGATTGCCACAAGGTAATATATATTTAAAATGACCCGTACTCATGTGACCAAAGGGAAATCATCTTTTCACCAACAACCAATGGAGTAGCCCAAATGGGGTAAAACATGTTCCAATAGCAACGCCACAACAACATCAACACCTGTGCAAAATCCATCGAGCGGCTTGGTCCTCATAAGATGGTTCTGTTGAGGGTATATCGGTATATCCAAATTGAGGCTTCGTTCATTTTCAGATTGGGTAATATCTATGTGACAATGTGAATATCTATTGTGGATATCTATTGTCAAAATAGATATTACCATATCAAATATCCATACCAAATCGATTTTGAACCGCTTCAATGCCTGTGGTTAAAATATGTTAAAATCACGTCAAAGCCACATGTTGGCTGGCGAAATTCCTGTATTTCATGATTAAACCAATGAATATTTAAGAAATCCAATTAACATATATGGTGAAATACCACTTACCCTCTGGTTATTTAACATAGCCATGGAAAAATCCACCATGTTTAAGTTCGGTAAACCATCTATTTCGATTAGGGCCATCGAAAAACCATGGCTATGTTTAACCAGAGGGTAACCTTCAGCCGCGTCCTCCAAGTGCGAAGGATCCTTTTGTGCATGATCCGCGTTGTAGGCCATTTCCAATCCCTCACACATGGCTCGGGCGTTCACCTGGTGCCGTGGTTTCGGGTCTGCAAACCATATGGTTTCTGGGGGATTCATATGGAGGTTTCCATGAAGATGGGTACTCCAATAGCTGGATGGTTTATAACCCATAGGATCCATCTATGGTATATACTAACATTGGGGGTATATTGATGGTAAATGTTACCATATATAGCATACATGGATCCTATGGGTAAGTGAACATCCTTTTAATATGGATGAATGGGGGTGGGGATTTATTCAGACCAGCTGCTTGGAAGTGATTCACCCCAATGGTGCGCAGTTTGGTCATAAGTCATACCAAAATATGATGTCCATTGGAAGTGAAGCACAAATAGATCTTTTTACCACATGCCGGGTACATCAGTTCTGCTTCTCACCTTTGAGGATTCCAGATAACACCCAATTAACAGAAGAAACAAAGTGAATTCCCTCTAGTCAATGGGAAATTCAGGATCCTAAAATAGAGGTACTGTACCATATAAGGCCGTATTTTGTGGGGATATTCCCTAACATAGGCCTTATGTATGGTAGGTACCTCGAATCAATCGGTTCCTGAAATTCCCATTGATCTAGCGTTCTCCATGCCTGGACACACAAGAACTCACGTGGTCGTTCTATGTCGTATACAATGCCCTGTGGGGTATGTGATTGACCACTTATCAATGTCTGTTTAGCCAACTCATCACAGGTCCTCGTTGAAGACTTCGCAGGAGATCCACGGCGAACAACTGATGACGTCAAGCCATTAGAACATTCACTCCAACTGTAGTCACTGCAAATAGTTATAAAACATACGTTTATTCATTCCCACTCCAGTTAGTTGGAACACATGTTATTAGTCTATAGCTTCTGATTACAACATGTATCTATTAGATTCCCCATCATCTTACTGGTGCTTAGTAACGCGGGAATGATCCATCATAACTGTTGATAATTATCCCATTACTGAGGATCTCCATTTTTTTGAATTGTTTCTCCATTTTTTTCAAGATATAAACATCCTAGAACAAGCACAATTCGACAGCACAACATTACTCCATGATCTCCATGCCTTACTAAGCACCAGCAAGTCATGTTCCTGTGAAACGTCAGCTGTTTCTGGTGGAAGACGTGGAAGACCCACGGCGACCTCGCCAATCTGGTGGAAGGCATACTGCATGCTCTTGGGTCTCGACCTTGGAGCCGAGGAAATCCATCGGATCCGACTCAGAGAACATGTTGTGTTTTTTTTTTTTTTTCCAACCTATAATACATATTACATATATATTACATATATATTACATATATATTACATATATATATATTACATATATATTACATATATATTACATATATACATATTACATACTAACTCACATATCATAGTCCCTTTTTGATGCTTTTTGGAGTTTTTCATGACTTGATTTGATCCCCTCCGGCCCTGCGACCACATCAAGTTCTTCCGCAGCTCCACGAATTCAGTGTCCACCAACCTCGGGGGAATCACCGAGCCGTGGAAGACATGGTGACCACATGGACCTCACGTGGCATGTTAGATATCAATAGATATCATCTCTTATCATCTTAGATACCCCTAGATTATCCTAGATTCTAGCCCTAGATATCAACTGCTTGGTGGTTGAGTTGAGTTTCACAACCCCTCTGAAAAATGATGGAGTGAGAAAGAGTTGGGATGATGAACTTCCAAATATGATGGGAAAAATAATCCAAATGTTCCAAAGCACCAACCAGTCAAGACATATCAAGTATAATTCAACTACCCAAGGTTTACCAGAAATCAAATGGACTTCGTCTCCGGTGAACCAAAGATACTGCATCACTCCGACTACAACCATAAGGGAAAAGAAGGGTCAAGTCCTATCATCTTCCCCAATGGGGTGCAGTGTAACATGGTAGTGCCATGCAGCAAACGTAATAGGAAACCTCCGTCGAAGCTTGATAGCATCCATTTCTTGTAAAATGGCAGCTGGTTTCATGTTGCGTCTTACCACACTAGTACACATTAGTTGCAACTTTTGTTGCATGGTACACAAAACGCAGGACGGGAAGGGACACACCAGACATTACATGAATTTACATGATATTGCTACATGTGGCAAACCGCCATTCAGAGTACCCTCTGGTAATTTAACGTAGCTATTGAAAATGGTCATTTATAGAGGATTTACCCATCAAAAATGGTGATTTTCCATAGTTTTTTGTATGTTTACCAGAGGGTATGGTATGCAGCAATCTTCGCTGTTGCTTCCAACCCGCCAACCAAAGGCATTGCTGCGACATCACTGATCAAGCCCTTGGGTTCATTGCGAGCCCGGCTCTCAACAAATGGAAGCCCAAAATTGAAATTGCAATTTCCATCAGTAGAAACTCATCTTCCCAACCTATACTACCCATCCTATACCATCTATACCCCCCAAGCTTCTCAGAAAATCAAAACTTCTTGCTGTTTCTTGCTGTATCCAAGTGTGGAACATTGGATCATCAAACCCACATCGGCCATCTACGGCATCCGCTCTACGGCTTCCTTATGGTGCCATGATGATCCAAGTAGCGCTGCCAGCTCTTCGATTTCAGAGGCCTCGCAAGGAATCGAAGCAGCACCGCTAGGACAAGGCGAGTCCTTCACCTCTGTTCCTGTTACAAAATCACAAGATAACCTGTATGATATCTGGTTGGTGGTTGAGCCCTACCCCTCTGAAAAATGATGGAGTTTGTCAGTTGGGATGATGAACTTCCCAATATATGGAAAAATGTTCCAAACCGCCAACCAGATAGAATACTATAATGGATTATTTCCATTGTCATGCCCAACACCAACAGCTGCTACTGTGGAGCAAGTCCAGTGAGCTGTTGTAAGATGTTGTAAGTATTTGGTTTGGATGATTTATTTAGGTGCCTGCATTCGTTTCTTTATGGCTCCTGTTATTTTCTGCGCATACTTTATTTTGACCTACGCTGTGAAAATCTACCAGTTTGTCAATCAACTTCTTCACAAAATGGGTCATGAGTCATGTGGATGGCTGCAGTTACGTGATTCAATACAATTTGCTCAAAAACATGCCAAACTGGATTTCAATCCGAAACAATTGGTTTGCAAATATCCTAAACCTTATTTCCGTGTAATTCCCCTATTTCCTTGAATTGTGTATGTTTACAATGATTGTAAATATTATGTATATAATAATATTATATATAATATACATGTATATGATATGTATGTATATTTAGATATCATAAATACATATTATATATATAATACATATATATCATTATATCTCTGTCTATATCGATCCTAAATTTCTTACATCATCCTACATCTAAATTCCAATTGGTGGATGTCCGTTGAATACTTGCATCTCCAGTTGGTCTTGCATGTCGGTGTATTGGATATGCAAAAAAAAAACGTATGTTTTTGTTTATATATATATAAAAGTCTTGATAAAGATACACATTGATGGAACTTATCCATTTGGGTGTACCTTCAGTTTTGCATGTTAAGAGGGACCTGTATAAAGTATTCTAACTAGCCACCTCAATTTCAAACAAATCTATCTCATCCCATTTGCTGGTTGGTTAATAGGTATTCATCCAATAAATGAGGTAGGTTAATAAAAAAAATATAAAAATATAGGTTAATAACCCCCAGCCAATTACCCAATCAACAGTGGTATGTTTAATAGCTCGAGTGGCTAGTAGCCGGGGTTAGGAAAAGGGAAAAAGGGGATGATCACCAGCAGAAACTGATCCAATCTCCTCATATCTTTGACAGTTAAAATGTGTTAAAGCCGTATAATCAACAATGGTCTTTCAATGGTATTGATTATTTGATTGGTCAAAACAGTGTATTCCCCTATAGCCTATAATTCATACCCATATTTTAATTCTCCATTCATGTGGTAAACCCAATGCCATAAACAATCCAGATAATCACATTTTTATGGGTTGTAAGCCCATTCCCAAATGGTAGGTTAATTGCATTGGGTTTCCCACATTAGAACCTATATCAATTCCATATTAAGTGAAATCCCATTATATATTCCCGCACTTTCCAGCAATGATATCCCCAATCAAACCATATTGACCTGTTGAACCATATGAATGTCCATGAAATATCACAGATATATCCAGATATATGATATATCCAGATATATCCAATATGAACAATCCAGATATATCCAGATCCCCATCCCAGCGCCAATTCCCCAGATTTAACGTTAACGGTACCTTCGATCTGGCCCGCTCCGCCAGGTCCGATTCCCGGGCGATGTCCATCTCCTGGGAACCGAATGAACCGAGGAACGTCAACGTCAAGCCATGGGGCAATGATAACATGGGCAACATCAGGATTTGTTGGATTTTTAGTGGATAATCTCGAATTATGGATTTTATGGATTATGGATTGGTAAACTAATGGGTAAATCAGGTAATTTTACTCAGCTGATTGGTTCTCTCCCATCCTGACTGAGACTGAGACTACTGAGACTAGTACCCTCTGGTAAACGTTTACATAGCTATGGAAAGATCCACCATTTTCAATGGGTAAATCCACTATTTCGACTGGGCCATTTTCAATAGCGAACTGTTAAATTACCAGAGGGTATCGGATGGTATCGGTGGTTGACTAAAAAACCTCAGGGGTGTTGACCAACCAAACTGGGGCAATATCTGGAGTTACCCTTCTGTAAACATAGAAAAAGATGTGGAAAAGCCACCATTTGTAGATCATTTTTCTGGGGGTTCCCCATGGATTGTCCACATCTTTTTCTATGTTTACGAGTACCCCGGGGTACCTGAATATGATACCCTCTGGTAAATTAACAGTTCGACCCTGGCAGAAAACGGGCTTGGAAGACTAGTTTCCATATGTTTCCATTAAAAATTGGCTATTTTCAGGGTCCAACTGTTAATTTACCTATGATAACTCACAGAGATCTGGCATGGCACAGAGATCGAGCCAACGTGACATGAGGTTCGCAGAGATGGTGGTGACGTTGATTGACGTTGTGTCTTTAAGACTCCCACACAACGGCTGCCATTTGCAGAACCTTTTTTTGGGGGACTGAGAACATGATCAATATTTGTTCATCATAGTTATAGTATGCTATAGTCATAGTACTATTATACTTGGAGTCATTGAGTACTATTCTTACTTCTTGACACCACTCATTATATATACATGTAAAAAAACGGTAGTTGGAATTTCACGTGCGTTTCACGAGCCATGCACCAAACTCCTCCAGATCAGCACGCACCATTGTGAAGGGCCTGATCAAAGGTTCGGTTTGGTGCGAGAAAAAATGTCTATGGAGAGTCCAGACCATGGACTCAATGGCAGCCATGAGGAAAAAAACACATAGCGTGATCATTGATTTCACAGTTAAACCAAGTTAAACTATTGAACTGGAATGAACTGGATATATTTTTGGATTCATGAAACGATTCATCAAACGATTCAGCAATGGTTCAGTGGATAGACTCGACTCCTGCCATGGTTTCCCAAGGCTTACCTCACATCCGCCTTGGATTCGCAAACCTACCTTGATTCGTGCAGAAATACAACTCCAGCTTTGGATGGTTGAAAACCAACCCCAAAAACGGGTTAAAACTCGTATAAACCAATATAAAACATATCAATTCATGTAATTAAGATATGTAAAATGATGTAACACCGGTGGTTTACCACTGGCCCAATAGATCCCACTACCACATTCACAAGGTTCACAACTTCAAGGCACTCTCCATCTTTCAGCTGCAAGAGCCAAATCTGTGGGACGCTGCCAAGCACTTCCTGGCTGAGCTAAGGACCTAAGGATCTCCAAAAAGGGGTCTTCACATCCTCTGGGAGAAAACATCGAACTGAAACAGTTTCGAAAAGAAACTGGATGGTGACAATTCTGATGGATATGATATATATATGTGTTTGTTGTGTGATGTGAAAAAAACAGGTCTTTCTGTCGCTTGAGCCTTTATTTTCGCAGTGTAAACGCATCTTCAAGCACCCTACATTTTTTGCTAACAACATATCTACTGCTGAAAAAAACTCCATTTCTGCTGCTTACCGTCCCAATTTCTCCAAACTGCTCCAGTTTCTATCCCTCCCTCGCCCACCGCGATATGGTTCGAGAAGATCTCAGCGTCAGCCATCAGCCGCTGAAGCGCGGCAGAGGCCCAGGCGGCTTTGACACCTGCAGGCGCTGCAGGGTTTTTTGAATTTTCAGTTGGTCTACCCTCTGGTAAGCATACAAAAAACTATGGAAAATCACCATTTTGAATAGGGAAATCAACTATTTCTATGATTATTTTCAATAGCGAACTGTTAAATTACCAGAGGGTAATGGAAATGTATAAAGTATGTGGTTAAAACAACCAGTAACAGATATTTTTTTCTATCAACCATTAGTCACTAGTCAAATCAACCATTCAGAAGTGGGTGAAACAATGTTTACCACCCATGACTGGGAATGGTAAACAAAGCGTTTATACCAATTATTTATGGTGATTTGATGTGATTTGGCCACATTTAAACAATTACCCTCCTTTGTGTCATCAAACATGAGGGGCCGAAGTTTTTGTCGCTGGGATTCCCCGGGTTTCACCAGCGATGAAGAAATCTGGGGATGGAGGTTTGACCAACTAGGGGTTACATAAAGCCTACTGGTTCCCAATTGGTTCCTGCCAATCTACTTGAGGTTGATCATGTCCAATTGATGCTGATCAGACATAAAAAATGAAAACTGTGGAGCCGACAATGGCCCAGCAACGATCCCCCTGACAACTTCGCGAAAGAGGGGTAAATTAAGCCGCTCCAAACAAATCAGCATTCCACATCTCAAGGTTCACTCTCAATTTATAGTATGTTGGATAATGCTGTGATTGTCGTTCACAACAGCAACAAAATAACATTTGATTATTTTCCAGCGCATTCCCATCCCAGCAAATCATATGTCCACCGAAATGGCTGAATATTCCACCAGGGTTTTTGTTTGAAGGTTGTTTCATATTAACAAGGGAAGAGATGATCCAATTTATATATCACTATATTTGTTTTTTGGAGTTAACACTAGTATTTACCATCTGGTTATTTAACAGTTCGCCATGGAAAGATCCACCATTTTTAAGAACGGTAAACCATCTATTTCGATTAGGGCCATCGAAAAACCATGGCCATGTTAGGCATCACCAGAGGGTACGTACATTTTTCAGTCTTCAGCAACCACCCGTCGACTTGGCCTGGCGCTTTTAGCATCACTTCCACTTTCAAATCGCTTCTTGCTGGTCGATACGTCGCTTCCCCTGGCGGCTGAACCCGGTCCGAACGGCGGTAACGGTCCGAACGGTCCCAACGGACCGGAAGAGACACCAAAAGCGGCCGGGTGTGTTTTTCCCAAACCATGGGAAAGCCTTGTTAAGACAGAGATGAAAACTGATGAAAAGGGGTTTGCTTTCAGAAGCAAGGAAGCAGGCATTGGAAATTTACCAGAAATGGATGGTATACACACCAAATAGTGGTTAACCATGATGTTATCACCATTCTGAGATACACGGTTTTACCAGAAGTTTAACAGAAATGGATGCGTCTCTAACTTGGAGGTCGCATTACCCTTGGAAGTGGCGCATCAGCTGCACTTCCGGTACCAAAGTTGCAGCCACATCCATGGCTCAGAAATACAAGTCAGTGCGCCCTCAGGTATGTTTCGCAGTTTATGTTACCCGCATATAATATATATATATGTATATATATATATTGTAAATATGGCATAAACCATTTATATATATATATATACCCCAATTAACCAGTTCGATGTATCTGCCATAAACCATTAGACCCCTTAAACTGGTTCAGTGTATCTGCTGTTTTTTTTTTTTAATATTGCATATATATATATAAACGAACTTGGCTATGGGGCACCACCTCTTGTAGAAAGAACACCATGACACGCGTGCTGCCAACTTACTCCCCGATGAACAAAACAACCCCAACCATGCCTAAACATTTTGTGAACACGTGAGCCAGCAGATAGTGCAGATAGTGTATATCATAATAATAGGATCAACAATATTTTGTAAAGCAAATATGTATCATCCATGTTTTGTTTTTATATTTTTTTTTATGAAATAACTCCCCTACTATTCACCAGGACCAAATCAATCATCAGTTCACCTGTGATGGAATCCTCCGAGTCGTTTGGCGTGGGAGGCTCAGAGTTCTCAATGGGATCCTGGTGATCACATTGCTGGTGAACATGTTGGCCATCAATCTGTCTCAGGAAAATGTATATAACCAATAAACATCATATATATAGTATAAAAGGTGTAGCCTGCGACTTGAAATGGATTGAAATGGCTCGAAACATGACAGAAACATCCGAATCATTGTAAGTCAACACGATTCAATTGTGAAGGATAGTGATTGCTGGTGATTCTCTAAAGTCTAAAGTAGGACCATGAACCAACCATTCACTTCTCAAGTTTCCACAGAAACTTCCAGGTCAACCCCTCCTCTGGACCAGCCAAAAACTTCACTGCCCTCGGTCAGGTCAGGGGTCATCAAACATGGCTGGCTGAAAATCCCCGAACTATATGGAAATTTAAAGGCCATTTTCCAGCAAACCATGTTCGATTACCGGAGGGTAAATTATAGTAAACTAATATAACTATATGGAAATCCATGGTTGTCTCCCGTTCGGACATCTACTTTCATGGTGGATCTTCAATGTCTATATTAACTTTCTGGAGGGCGGCATTCAGCCACCGGCAATCAAAGACTAATACCATAATGGGGGTTTCTCGAAATGGAGGATCCTCAAGTTACCATCGCTTTCAATACAAAGTCATGTTTTAATGACTTGGATGATTTGGGGTACCCAAACGGTTTACTATTGGTTTTACCAGATCTATAGTCTATCATGTCTATCCATAGTGGTGCCACTCAATAATAAGTTGTTTCTTTATTTTTTTAAAGGGTAGTTATATATATATTTTAAGCATGATCATAAACTATTATAAACCCGAAATATCAGCTGTAAACCAACTTAACAAGCAGAAATATTTAGAAATCAATCATAAACCCCAAAATATGTCTAAATATCAGTTAAACACCAACTGAACAAGCATAAATCAAGTATAAATCCCGTGAAATCACCATGTTTGTTCGTTAAATCCCCATTTCTGTCATCGGCCGGTCACCATCGTTTTTTGGTCCCGGTCACACGCGCTGGTCCGGGACATCGGCCATGGCGGCGAAGCCTGTACTTTTTGAGAGCAAGGATCGGTTAAGGAGTGGTTGGTAACCAAGCAACAATGATATATATATATATATATCTTTTTTGGGGGGGATTAATATACATATTTATATATATATACATTATAACCATAATCAATCATATATGTAGATTTTAACTAACAAATATTATAGTCTATAGATGGCACTGATATGTATGGTGATACTAAAACAATTGGTATATTATCGACAGAAGTTTAGAAGCCAAACTTCCGACAATATGGACAGATGAAAAGCGGAGATGGGAAGAGTAAGAGAAGAGAAGAGAAGAGAAGAGAAGGGAAGGGAAGGGAAGGGAAGGGAAGGGAAGGGAAGGGAAGGGAAGAGAAGAGAAGAGAAGAGAAGAGAAGAAGAAAGAAGATCCAGGTTTGCGAAAAGGTGGCAAAGTCGCGAAACACTGTGTTTTTTCCAATGAGTTGTGGTTCCGGAAGGTCGAAAAGTAGGCTCACCGGCGGGTGCGAAGCCATGTGGTCAGATGAGAGATGACAAGTTGCACGCCGTTGTGGCGCGAAGCGCATTTCCAAGTCAAAATGCACAAAGCACCTCAGTGTTGGAGCACGTTTGGAAGTTGAGATGTCGAAACAGTGCACGCCGTTGTGGCGCGAAGCACATTTCCAAGTCAAAAGTGTAAAAGCACTTTTGGACGTTCAGATGTCGTTTCGCGTGGCAGGCGCAAGGGATTGTGCACCGTGTCAAAAGTGGGCAAAAACGTGAGGGATGTGTAGCATGTCCAAAAACGATGGCAGGCGTGGGACATTTGAAGAGGATCTGCAAACATACCTTTTCCGTGGCAGGCGCAGTACAAGAGACATGTTCATCAGAGATGTTAGGAGGTCCGGGCGCTGATTTCCTGAGAAAGGTTGCATTTTGGAGCATCAGATCTTCAGTTTTGGGAAGATGATTTTGCTTGACAGGTGCAGCACTTCGTATGAGCTGGCCTCAATTTTTTGTGGCAAGCGCAATACTTTAGACAAGTGGAGCGGAAAAATCGCAAAACCCATTGGCACGAGGCCGTCAGCTCTGCACTCAACTTTCCATTTTTGAAGGAAATCTCGCAGAATTGCTTTGTTTTTGACGTTGCCAACTTCGAAAAAAATGAGGAAGTCTCGCAGACTTGTTTCGTTTTTGACGTTGTCAAATTCAAAAATTAAGGAAGTCTTGCAGAATTGCAGCGTTTTTTTATGTTGTCAAGTTCAAAAACTGAGGACGTCTCGCAGAATAGCTTCCTTTGTAGATAGATAGATAGATAGATAGATAGATGGATGGATAGATAAATAGATTAGATAGATGGATGGATGGATAGATAGATAGATAGATCGATAGATAGATAGATAGGTAGGTAGGTAGATAGATAGATGGATAGGCAACTACAACAACAACAACATCATCAAGCACAACTACAACTACCACTCCACTACACTACTACTACAACTACAAGTACAGATATACTACTCTACATTACACAACACTAATGTTACACTACACTACACTAATTACATCTAATTACTCTACACTACACTAATTACACTACAACTACTACAACTACTACAACTACTACAACTACTACAACTACTACAACTACTACAACTACTACAACTACTACAACTACTACAACTACTACAACTACTACAACCGCAACAAGAACAACAACAACTACTACTACTACTGATACTACTACTACTACAACTACTACTACTACTACTACAACAACAACAACTACTACTACTACTACTACTACTACTACTTGTGCTACTACAACTACCACCACCACAGCTACAACTACAATTACAGCTACACTGCGTTACATTACAATACACTAATTAAACTGCAGTACATTACAGCTACAAATGCAAATGCAAATACAACTACAACTACACTACATTACACAACGCTACACTACACTAATTGCATTACATTACACTACAGCTGCAACTACCACTACATTGCACTACACAACGCTACACTACAACTACGACTACGCTACTTTAGACTACAATACACTAGACTACACTACGCTATACCGCGCTACAGTACACAACACTACAGTACACTACAAGACACTACACTAACTACACCACACCACAACTACAACTGCAACTGCAACTACACTACACTAATTACACTACATTACAACTACAACTTACAACTACAACTCCACTACACTACAACTACAACTACACCTACAACTACAACTGCACTAAACCACACTACATCCAGCAGTTGTGGTGACGTGACCACTGCAACCATTGCAACCACTCCAGAAAACACAACTCCAACCACGTTTCGGTCCATCAGTGGATTCGCTCTGCCATCCGTGAGTCACAACAACCAACCCTTCCTATACGTTTGCATTTTTTTAAACTTCCGCCACCGCCTTGTGCGGTACTACTGGCATGTAACTTATCCAACCATATGATATATTCAATTTTTGTTGAAGGTTCAAATCCAGTTAGTATGTTTGTTTAACGATTTGGGGATTAACCAGATGATATATATCTATATATTTATCTATATCGGGATTTACCAGTGATATATATATATATATGATACACATGTAATTTTGGTTGGTTAATATACGTATATATATATATATGACCAAGGGACTATCAGAATTATGCAACTATGAAGGATGATACTAACCATTATAGTGGGGATTAGCAGCCACTGCTCAATGGATGTTTAAGAGAACTATAAATGTTTGTTTAGATACAGTAATTAATTTTGATGTATATACAAGCAAGACTGGATTGATTTCATGCATGAAATATGTTTTTTGGTATTGAATCACCAACTAGAATATAGAATAGACCTTGAGGCTTACCTCAAAAAAAACAAAAGGGAAAAGACACTCTTTCACCAGTGCAAGGCCTAAACAGCCTCAGGGACAGGATATCTTTCATAGCCATAGCCATTGGATGTCGATTCCATTTCAAGGTCAACTGGTTCAAATATGGTAAAGTCCACATTTCTAGTGGGTATATAACCAGTCTTGTGGTTCACAATCATCATTGTTGTTGCTGGTCCCATCCTGACTTACTTCCTGCTGCTTAATTATCATTTTTGTATCGGCATGTATTGGCTGCATGCCCAAGATTTGCTTAGACGAAAACCCCCAAGTTTGGTAGACAAAGTGCCCTGCCTGGAATAGCGCTATCTTCCAGCTGCTTCAGTTTCTTATCAGGCCACTCTTCACCTGCGCAAAGACAGCCGCGATTTTTTCCCATGGAAATCTCCACTTTGTTTAATGCAGTCATTCCACCGATTCTTCTGAAATACCCCATGCTGGCGGCATATTCTTTTGGGGGATGGTGATAGATGGAGATAGTGTAATTAATCTGTCTGGGACAATTTTGACTTATAGCCATATATTATGACATCGTAAAATATTATATATCAGCAATTGGACAGTGATGCTTGACATGAATATTCTGAATATGGCATGATATTTAGCATTATATATCAGCCATTGAACAGTGATCATATGGCCATGTAACATGTTCGATTTTGGAAGAAATCAGTTTGGGTGTAGTTTTCCAACGACCATCCGCAACATCGCAACACAACATCGTACCAGTTTCACCACTGAGATTCCCGACGATGCAGTCCAGCCTTAGTACATCGCCAGAGGCAAAAATAGATTCTGTAGCATTCGAAGACATGAACATGGACAAGTAAACTGGTTGGTGGTTTCAACCCCTCTGAAAAAAATGAACGTCAGTTGGCATGATTATTCCCAATATATGGAAAGTCATAAAAGCTATGTTCCAGTCACCACCAACCAGATATGTGGGCTTGTCTGAAGATAAAGCATCCCAAAAAGTTGATGAATTGGAGCACATGTTTTGCACATTGTCATTTGGAGATCTGGGGGTTATCATGAATTATCCAATAAACAAGTGTCAACCTGCAAAAATATGAGAGCAAATGCTGAATAAAACACCAATGGGAACATGTATGGCCGGCTGTTAACCTGCGGGTGCATGGTCAGAAAGCATCACTGCATGACCAGTGTAGGGTGGGATTCCTGTGGGATAGACTTGTTATAGATTGGACATGGTTGGAATCTATTTGATACAAAAACATTATGAGCTACAAGGTATGGCCCCCCGCATTTATTTTTGTTGGTTTATAAGCCGCATTGAATTTACATATGTATATATATATGTAATATATAATATTATTATATATTATGCAGTTGAAATGTGTTATAGTTACACATAATTACAGTTACCATAAACCTTAGTTATACATATATATATATATATCAGTCATAAGCCAACTTGGCTATCGTAAACGGGGCCCCCCACCTTGTAACATCAATTGCTTGGTTTGGAGCCGCACAAAAGGCGGCCAACCAAGAACTGGTGCATTTCTTGAGGGTTGGACATTTGGTGGGGCTATGCCCAACTGTTTTTGCCCCAAAACTATCTAAAACAAAATCAACTATTCTTGAATATTTATCTGCATGCCACCCCGATTCCATTCAAAATCATGAAGCAAAAACATAGGACAGTCATTTCTGATTCGTCTAGATTTGGTACCAATTTCATCCAATTTGCCGGAGTTGCTTTATGAAATAAGCCGTCAAAAACCTCTGGTTTCTCGCACAAAGGATTCAACTTCCCAAGGTCCCAAGGTGATGACCGCAGCTTCAATCAGCTCAGTGACAGCATTCACCGACAAGTTGTTGAAATACACCGTAAGCCTCACCACAGCCTCCGCCACCCCGTAGCGCGTGAGCTTGTGGATCACTTGTCCTATGGCGCTTGTTTTTTTGATTTTTGGGATGGATGGATGGTGTTTTTGTAACAGAAATTGTGATTCAACGAAAATTGGGATTTAAAATGATTTAATCAACAAAGCTTGGATTTTGCATGATTTTACCAACAAACATCGGGATTTCACTATATGATTAAAGGGCTTGTCTCCATGTCAAGAGATGATTCAACCAGCCAACGTCGAAAAAAGGGATTTGACCCACTGATTCGTTCAGAAATGTTGGGGATGGCCCCAAAAAATGATGGTATGAGTCGGTATAAGACCAAGGTAATCAGGATAGAATGGGCTATAACGGAGTTTGGGATGTAATGGGATGTTTTCTTTTGACCATTGGGGTTGTCCCCGCGAATGGCTGGACAAATATGAGAACCAAAAGGCGTTTTCTGTGCTTTTTTCTCCACTAGTTTTATGCAAACACATGTCAGGGACCATGCCAAAGACATGAAAACAGTTAGGACACTTGAACCATATTCAACCAATTAAAGCAAACGAGTCAATAGGGATCATACCAAGATGGAGAATTCCGAATAATTTTCACAGATTTGATATATTCAACCAGTGAGAACTCACTCTTGTACGTGAGATTCCCGGTGTTGAACACATATGTATCCACATTGGTCACTCCTTGACGCTGGACTATCAACCCCGAATCATCCACCATGGTTGGAGTGCGTTAAATATTTGATGGGATTATATACCGTACCATTTTATTGTGACCATTTATATTCTGTAACATTGATGATGATGATACTCAAATGGTAATCCCATTTCTTTGTTAGATATAAATGATAATCCCATTAGAATGTACCCTCTGGTAAATCAACATAGAACCTGAAAATCACCAATTCTTAGTGGTTTCACTCATCTTCCAACCCCGTTTTCTGGCAGGGTCGAACTCCAAGGCCATGTTTTGCGGCCCCATTTCTTGGGGTCCCAAGCGTCCTGACCAGCGGTTGATGAAATATCTGCGGCCCCAAATTGGATCAATCGCTTCGCGCCAGTCCCGGGTGTAGAGGCTCTTCGCCTGGCACCGAGACTTGCGCCACGGCTCAGTGGTGAACCAAGGCATGGCCAGCTGGCCAGCAATGCCATAACCCATAAATTGATGGTAAATTTGGGGTGGATCCATGTGGATCCTATTGCTGGGTGGAGATTTTGGACCCATGGGTGGCTTCGACAAATCCTGCCTCCAGTTCTCCAAGTTCTCTCAACCTCAGCACAGGTTGGAATGTGTGAACATAGGGGCACCGAAAGGCTTATATTTTTTGATCGTTTTGCCCATTTCAACCCATAATCAACAACAATAAAAACACATCTATCAAATCTTAATTCAACAAAAAACATGTTTAACGTATTGTTTTTGTATTCTTTTGTCTCTTTTTTTTGAGAAGAACCTTATAATGCACCCTGAACAAAACCAGGGGGAGGCATTCCACCACCCCAAGATCTCGCCATAAAGGGCCCTGTCGAATGGCTTAAAATTTATGATGTTGCAACATCTTTGAAAAAGATCACATCAATTTGGGATCATCATGTCAAATTCTGGGTGTATATTGTAAAGTAAATAATCACAATACTTAAAAATCTAGCTTGATCCTCAAATCTATACACATCGTTTCTTCTATGTAAACCCCAGTTCTGAATGACCAGCATAATCATCCAAGCCACAGTTCCGGCAACTCCGCTTCTTCTTCCTCGAAGATCTCCTCCTCTTTCTTGCTGCCCGTCTGTTCAACCTCCTGAAACCCACGGCAAAAGTGGGATGAAAACGCAGAAGGGAATTTCCCGTGGAACCAGGTGGAGGGGGGACACACACACACACACATATATATAAGAGTTTTATATAAGTTATATACGTAAGTGTATGTGGATGATACTTGAGTCTGACCAAGTCCAAACATGCCAAGTTCCCTTTGCTACCAGAATTCTGCGCAATTGCGATTAAAACAATTCAGCGTATAGACATCATGATTCTGATTGACTACAAACCGAACCTTTGGAACTTACAAACACATCATAGTCATGTCCTTATCTTCCTGCCATGGATGTGTTGTGTCCTCCACTCCCTAATTAGATTACAGATTTTACAGAACATTAGGAACAGCAACAGGTCTCCCCATCTTATAGGAAACTGTGGTTCATTGCATTCCCATTTGAGGAACCTGCCCATCTACTTTGATATTGGAAAAACTCACATCTTGGATCATCTTGGGGTATTTGTTGGAAAATGTTGGAAAATGTTGGAAATCATCATAGCATCCATAGCATTGGACTGGATATGGAGGTATCCAACAAAACGAGGCTACCCCCAAACCATCGAGTCAGAGGAAAACCCCATCATCGTAGCGCAGCCTGGGAAACTGGAGCAGGTCTGAAATGTTGATCCACATCCACATTTACGGATGGATATCTGGTTGGTGGTTTCAACCTATATACCACTCTGAAAAATATGACTTCAGTAAGTCAGTTGGGATGATTTTCCATTCCCAACCATATCTGGAAAGTCAGTCAAAATTCCATTGTTCCAGTCAGCACCAACCAGATATGGATTGATCATGTATCAGACCCAGAAGTATTCAGTTTCATCCTGAAAGGATCTGGTCCTGTGAGAGTTGGAGCAAGACCGATTCCACGGAATCCTTCAAGATTCGACGCCTTGGAGAGGGGACACCATTGGCTATTGGACGCCTGGACTCGCCAGGTGACCAGGTTGAAGGATTTTTAGAAAGGAGAACCAAAAGCCCATCTTTACACCAACCCAAAGAAAACCTGGTAACATCCCCATATCTTGTTGTCCATCGGAATAAATACGGTACCTTCTTGTTTTTGGAAATTGCTGAAGTCCGAAAATCGAAGATTCGCAGCAAGGGACTTCACTTCCTCAGGGTGCACTTGTCCTGGGAAGCGCTTGCGCAGGCATGACCAACCAGCTTCGGTGTAAAGGTCCAACCAACCTCCTGCTGGAAGAAGACAGCCGGCGGGCCACCGAAGAATGGGAGTAACTGGGGTCTCACAATTTCAAAATTATGTCGGTATAGATAGATAGATTAGACAAATGGATGAGATCTGATTAAATCAGATTAGATCAGTTTAGATTCGATAGATGGATAGATGGATAAATGGATAGATGGACGGATGGATGGATGGAAAGATGGATAGATGGATAGATGGATAAATGGATAGATGGACGGACGGACGGACGGACGGATGGATGGAAAGATGGAGAGGTGAAAAGATGGAAAGATGGACAGATGGATAGGTAAACAGACAGACAGGCAAAGAGAAAGATAGAGATAAACATAGTTAGTTTGTTCGTTTAAGTTAGTTAGTCAGTTAGATAGATAGATAGATAGATAGGTAGGTAGATAGATTCGATAAGTAGGTAGGTCAATAGATCGATCGATAGATAGATTAGATAGATTAGATAGATTAGACAAGATAAAATAGATAAACTAGATAAAATAGAATAGAACATAACATAATAATTAGCCTAGATTAGATTAGATTAGATTAGATTAAACTAGACAAGACTAGACTAGACTAGATAGATAGATAGATAGTTTCATATATATATATATATATAGACAAGCAAATATATAAAGAAATGGATAGATTGATCTAGAGATAGATATAGAGGTAGAGGTGTGTGTGTATGTATTTATTATTTATTATTTTATATATATATATATACGTAAGGGGGAGAGAGATTTAGACACGCACACATAAATATATAACCATAAATCAGAGTATTAACATAGCTATGATGATTATATATATAATATATTATATCATATAATATAATTATATATTATATATGCTTTGGAGTCAAAGGTTAAATCCACCATTGGTCTCTCACAAGCCCCTAATTCCAAACACTTCCAGTATTTATCTTGATACTTCACACTACCCGGATTATTGCCCCATGATTACGCCATCCCACCCCATCCTATCCCACCACATTTCCTACGGCTTCATCACTGTCTTCGATGCTTTTGATGCGGACCACACGCCCAAAGCGACCGGAGATCTCTGCCAGTTGCACCTGAGGCAGCAAATTGCCTGGTGAAAATGGGTGATTTCGTGCAAGTTAGGACAGTTAGGATGGAACTGCAGCCGGTTGACTTGAACAATGATGAAACAACTGAGATCTATCCATCACAAAAAAAAAGTAGATTGAGCCTACAAAAGGTGGAGATTCCAGCAGAATTGAAGCAACCATGAAACGGGGGTTGAACTGACAAACATGGAGCTCCTTGTTAAATGGAGTCAGCTTTACCACTCTGAAACAGTCGAAATGAAACGCAAACACGTATCATATATCAATCAGAACCTATCAGAATCTACCGTTGATCATCATCATCATCATCATCATCATCATATGGTTGTACCATCAAATGCCGGAATTTTCACCCTCTTTCGCCAATTTTGTAAAATGGATTGAGCATGGGAAAAACAAGACCATCCAAAACATCAACCAGGTATACTATCCAGTTTTTACATGTTTTTACAACATGGAAAATAAACAATATAGGGAGTACTCTGTGGAAATCTAGCAAATTGCGAACTGGAACATCACCGTGTTAAATACGTAAATCATCGAACTAAGTGGCCATTCTCCCTATGTTGAACTAAATTAGTAGAGGTTAGTTTACCTCAGGTAGTATACCCTCTGGTAATTCAACATAGTTATTGAAAATTGCCATTTATATATATATATATATGTAAATGATGTACCTAATAGGACATGGTATGACATGGTGACTTTCCAGTTCGCAATGTTAGTTTACCTCAGGACAATAACACCATTTTTGGGGGGACCCATGCCATCCATGCCCCAAGGGTGGGCGTTCCTCTGGGTCTCCCGTACCACATCACCGCGTTGCAGGCTCCCCACATGGGGGCTATCACTTTCCCAGGTCTCCCGCACGGACAACCTGTGATCGGGATCAAAACATGGAGGTGCATAAGATCAATGGGAATAACGATGATATATATTGAAGTATAATGGAATATCATGGATTTTGATGGAACATCTACAGGATACCATCGTTCACCCTCCAAATAGAGGGGTTTCCGGCTTCAATTGTCTCTTCAAGCAAGTTTGAGAAACAGAACTTTGGGGTTTCAGCACTTACAACTGGAGACCAGTGGGTGAATCACCAAGCAACAAGACTCTGGGGTTTCAGCAACTAACATACACTAACGTAAGCAACAAATTTGGGGTTAGCCTCCAAATATCAAACATGGCTAGCTTCGTAATCACCGAACTAAATGGAGGTTTATACTTGGAAAATGATGGGACCTGGGAAACTCATCTATAATTGAGGGATTTCCAAATGCCATGTTTTATTACCGGATGGTATATTGAACATATTCAACTCAACCACAACACCTGAGGGTTCACCTATTTAATCCAGAAAAGCTTGCTGTATGGCAAAAATAAGCAGCCAGCATTCACAGGACATCTCCAAACACTTTCTAGCAATAAGGGGATGCCCGATACCAGCAGTTCTTCAATTTTCTTTTTATAATTGGGTAAGTCAGTACTTGGGTCAGTACTGTTCCAGTTGTAAGATGTTATTTCAGCAGATATTTTTCACCGTAGTTATATTTGGAGGTTTCCTAAAAAGGAGGTACCCCTTTATCGCTGGTTGGTTTATTTCACGGAAAATCCCAATCTAAAATAGATGAGAACTGGGGCTACCCCTATTTCAGGAAACCACCATAGAGTTATAGGGGTTAGATCCCAACTTCTGGGGCTTAATTTGCTATGGTTATAGCCGCTGGCATTAGTTTTACTTCAACTCCAGGAGGGTCCAGGTGCGTGCAAACACCAAGAGACTTCGTTGGCCGAAACTGATCTGAATCTTCCTCACAGAATGCGCCGCTGCGTCGCCAGGAAACCATTGGTGGCTTTCTTTCGCTTCAGTACCAATAGATTTGAAATGTTTTTTTTGGCTCAAAACATCTCGGAACCAAACATAGCCGCCCTAATTTTGGGATGAGTGTTGGAACGACCATAGGAACACGATTCCAAGCTGGTCTATACCAGCAACTCTCCCGACAGCATGATGCCCTGTCTGTTCTTCAACATTACAACTGCTTGCTGGTTTCCACCCTCCTGAAACATGTGCGAACGTCATTAGGGATCATCATCCCACATGAACATGAGACATATTTGAAGCCACCAGCCAGACAAACCATTCTTGTTAGTTATACAGTTATACATATTTTGTTGTTCGCGTACTGTTTCACCGCCACTTTTTGCTCATTTTCATTTTCATACAAACCCAAGCTGGCCAAATTGTGGATAAATCGTTCCCGATATCCTCATATCAATTCATATTAATCACCATGTCTGCCTAGTTGAAGCAGTTGAATACTCATGGTTTTACTCGTTGAATCCCCTTTTTCGTATGGTACCTACCAGCCATGTCTAGGAGCCACCAATGCAGATCGTCCTGATCCTCGTCGGCCACATGTCCGCCACGAGGCTCCACCCAGAAATCCAGGCCCTGGGGAGGTGGAGTTTTTTAGAGTTTTCTCTTGTCTTGAATGTTGTCAAATTATGATGAGTTAAATGATGTGACATGATTCATAAAAATAGATGAATTTCAATGAATATATATATATAATAGATATAGATGACGTATACTAACAATAAGGTGGAAACAAATCTCAAATGATAAAAATATATATATGTGTGTATAAATAATTATATTTAATATTTAACATATTAAATCAAATTATATTAGGTTTATATCTTGAATGTAATTTAACACATATAAAAATATTATATCATATAAAGTCAGTTATATATATATAGATACATACATTATATACATTATATAAATATTATATATATGATATATATAATATATATATATATGATATATATGATATATTAAATATATATGATATATTAAATATATTAAACATAATATATAAATATATATGGTATATATGATATATTATATATATTATCTATATTATATATATCATCTATATAATATATATATTATATTTTTTATATATAAATATATATGATATACATATTCTATATTATATTTATTAAACAGATTATATTATTAAATTATATTATATATATATTGTATATGATATATATAGTATATAAATATTAAACATATTTTATGTTATATATAATAATTAAAAAACAAATTACTTTACTTCGTGTGATCCCCACCATGACATTTATACATTTTCTTACTGGCAAATCTTCTGGCATTCTATCTGACATATCTTCTGACATTCTATTTGGCATTCTATCTGGCATATCTTCTGGCATATGATCTGGCATATCTTCTGGCATATCTTCTGGCATTCTATCTGGCAAATCTTCTGGCATTCTATCTGGCATATCTTCTGGGCATATCTTCTGGCATTCTATCTGGCATATCTTCTCTGGCATTCTATCTGGCATATCTTCTGGCAATTCTATCTGGCATGGATCGGGCATATCTTCTGGCATTCTATCTGGCATATCTTCTGGCATTCTATCTGGCATATCTTCTGACATTCTATTTGGCATTCTATTTGGCATATCGTCTGGCATATGATCTGGCATATCTTCTGGCATTCAATCTGGCATTCTATCTGGCATATCTTCTGGCATTCTATCTGGCATATCTTCTGGCACTCTATCTGACATATCTTCTGGCATTCTATCTGGCATATCTTCTGGCATATATTCTGACATATCTTCTGGCATTCTATCTGACATATCTTCTGGCATATATTCTGACATATCTTCTGGCATATCTTCTGGCATATCTTCTGGCATATCTTCTGACATATCTTTCTGGCATATCTTCTGGCATATTTTCTGGCATTCTATCTGGCAAATTTTCTGGCATTCTATCTGGCATTCTATCTGGCATATCTTCTGGCATATTATCTGGCATTCTATCTGGCATATCTTCTGGCATATTATCTGGCATTCTATCTGGCATATCTTCTGGCATATATTCTGACATATTTTCTGGCATTCTATCTGGCATTCTATTTGGCATTCTATCTGGCATATCTTCTGGAATATCTTCTGGCATTCTTCTACATTCTCTCTCTCATATCTTTCTCTGCATGGATCTTCGCACTCCCATATCTCCGGCAGGTCCGCAGGAACCTGGCGTGGTCTGCCGTTGAGGTCCGGCAGGGAACACTGGGCGTGGCTGGTCGTGGTTGAGGTCCGGCAGGGAAAACTGGGCGTGGCTGGTCGTGGTTGAGGTCCGGCAGAGAACACTGTGGATCGCGGGTCGCAGTTGGACGAGGACGACGAGGACGACGAGGACGACGAGGACGACAAGGACGACAAGGATGACAAGGAGGACGAGGAGGACGAGGAGGCAACTGACATAAAATCTAACAACCCTCACCTGGCAGGTGGGGAAATATTATATATTATATCTAAATATTGCATATACAATATAGAGATATTTTTTAACTATATATATATATATTATATCACATATGTTTAATTGTATTTAAAATATCATACAAATGAAATAAATTATATAAATTATCTATATTATATCAATTGTATATTACAAATATAACAACATATTATATATATTAGGTTATTTTATATATATCATATATATATATATATCATATATTTGTTTTATTATATATATTATGGAATATAAATTATATATATATATATTATATAATATTATATATATATATATATTATATGTATATTTATATAGATATAGTATATATATATTATATTATTTAAAAAATATATATTATATATCAAATATAAAAAATATATTATTTATTTATATTCTATATACTATGTTTATTATTTATATATTATTAAAAAATAATATATATATATATATATATGTCAATGTGTGTGTTATGAATATATATATATATTTATATACCAATAGTTCTGTTTCAATCTTTGATTTCCAAGATTTGGACGTGTCACTGTTTCATCATTGGAACTGGTGACAATGCTTTCAAATACTTTAAACTGTCTTAAAGCATCAAGAAATATCACGAACATTACTAACATGACCAATGATTTTGCCCAAAGTGATTGACACAATCCGTGCCGTCCATCCGTGCCTCTTCTAGCAGCACCACACAGGCGCCTTCTGCTCCGCCCAAATCTGCCCATGCAATGCCTGCTGTGGTAGAAATCATGAAACACGTATGGGGTTAGGGCCAAAAAAATGTAAGCCAGATGTCCGAATGGTCCGGCTTCTATCTCACCAACTCGAACAATTCTCAGACTGCGAGGTTCATTCATGGATGTTCATCGCATCTCTCAACCACTTTCTATAATTATTCGGATTGATATAGTTCACATATAATTCTTCACATGTTTTCTCCCAAAACTAGACGACGGATGGCCCGAGAGCGTAGAGGAGCAGGGTCTTCTCTTGTTAGTATGGAGATGCAATTTTAGAAACGGTATATGAAAGCTGTGTTATAGGCAGTCGAGAAGAGGAGTATCAAGACAAAATAGTGTGAAGTGCAAGACAATAGTTTGCATCGCAAACACTTTTACACACAGACGCTTTTACACAGACGCTTTTACACACAAAGCTTTTACCCACAGAAGCTTTTACACACAGAAGCTTTTACACACAGAAGCTTTTACAGACAGAAGCTTTTACATACAGAAGCTTTTACATACAGAAGCTTTTACACACAGACGCTTTTACACACAGACGCTTTTTACACACAGACGCTTTTTACACACAGACACTTTTACACACGGACCCTTTTACACACAGGAGCTGCTTTTACACACAAACGCTTGTACACACAGAAGCTTTTACACATAGACACTTTTGACACACAGACGCTTTGACACACAAACACATTTACACACAGACGCTTTTACACACAGACGCTTTTTACACACAGACGCTTTTTACACACAGACGCTTTGACACACAAACACATTTACACAGAGGCTTTTACACACAAACGCTTTTACACAAACACTTTTACACACAAACACTTTTACACACAGACGCTTTTACACACAGACGCTTTTACACACAGAGACTTTTACACACAGAGACGCGTTTACACACAGAAGCTTTTACACACAGACGCTTTTACACACAGACGCTTTTACACACAGACGAAAGGGTTGCTCCGGCACAGGAAAAATCGCAATTTTACCTCAGTTTCTACCGATCGACCCTCATTTCGTGCGAAAGGGTTGCTCCGGCACAAGTAAAATCGCAATTTTACTTCAGTTTTTGCCGATCGACCTTCATTTCGTGTGAAAGGGTTGCTCCGGGGCAAGTCAAATCGCAATTTTACCTCAGTTTTTGCCGATCGACCTTCATTTCGTGCGAAAGGGTTGCTCCGGGGCAAGTCAAATCGCAATTTTACCTCAGTTTTTGCCGATCGACCCTCATTTCGTGCGAAAGGGTTGACGTTTCGTGACTCGCCGCCGGCACCACCCTCGGCCTTAAGAGAGAAAGATAAAAAGAAGGCGTGAGAGAGAAGGTGAGCAGGTGTGATAAGAAGATGTGAAGATGAGCAGATGTGAAGATGAGCAGATGTGAAGATGAGCAGATGTGAAGATGAGCAGATGTGAGAGAAGATGTGAGAGAAGATGTGAAGATGAGCAGATGTGAAGATGAGCAGATGTGAAGATGAGCAGATGTGAAGATGAGCAGATGGGAAGATGAGCAGATGTGAAGATGAGCAGATGTGAAGATGAGCAGATGTGAAGATGAGCAGATGTGAAGATGAGCAGATGTGAAGATGAGCAGATGTGAAGATGAGCAGGTGTGAAGATGAGCAGATGTGAAGATGAGCAGATGTGAAGATGAGCAGATGTGAAGATGAGCAGATGTGAAGATGGGAAGGTGTGAAGATGAGCAGATGTGAAGATGAGCAGATGTGAAGAGGAGAAGGTGTGAAGATGGGAAGGTGTGAAGATGAGCAGATGTGAAGATGGGAAGGTGTGAAGATGAGCATATGTGAAGATGAGAGGATGTGAAGATGAGAGGATGTGAAGATGAGCAGATGTGAAGATGAGAGGATGTGAAGATGAGAGGATGTAAAGATGAGAGGATGTGAAGATGAGCAGATGTGAAGATGAGAGGATGTGAAGATGAGAGGATGTAAAGATGAAAAGATGTGAAGATGAGATGTGAAGATGAGAGGATGTAAAGATGAAAAGATGTGAAGATGAGAAGATGTTTTACAGACCCCCACTATTGGAAGAACCCTGCGCTCAGACGCTCTCGGGAAAAAGTTATCCCCTGAATCACCACGGTTCTTATTGTTTCTCCATGTTTTCCCCTAAAAATCCTGAAATCACCATGGTTCAAGGGCGTGCCTGGCGATGGATCGTCCTCCTCCTCGGGGAACAGCAAGCGGACCGAGCCCGTGGACGTGACCCATTGCGTCACCACCAAGCTGCCTTGTGGCCTTGGAGCTGGGTAAACCATGGTAAAGTTCGTAACGAAAAGATGTTGTATTCAAACAAAATGGTGGTTTATCATGGTTTATCATGGTTTACCATGGTCTATCATGGTTTATCTATCCTACAAAGACTATTACTAGGAACTTTGGCCAAAATTGAAACTCCAAAACCATAAACCAAGTCGGACTGGCAATGTCTAAAGAATCAGGTTTGGTGGTGCCATGTGATGCCCAAGAACTCAACTCATAATATCTTACAATTACCTTGAATAGTTGTTAAAATTATGGGACCCCAAAGCGGATACTTTAATACTGAAAGAAAACCAAAACTGTGGGTCCATTTGTGCCCAATTTTGACCCATACCTATTTATATGTATATATATATAATTATATATATATCCTATATGCCTATACTTTATGCCTCTATACAAGTACATCGTTGTGTTCTGGAACGCGCTGGAGAGGGTTGACCTGAAGAGACTATTTGATGATCAATTCCAGCTGCGACAGTATTTTCCAATGGTAACGACCCAGTTTGGTGGTGTTTAATGGGGTTTGTTCAAACATGGATTCCCCGAAACTTCAAAAGTTTAAAACCTCAAAACAAGATCGGTGGGGTCAATGCCGCGTTTCTGCATTAATGTTGAATCCTGATTAGTGCAATGGGACGCTTTTGTGTCAAATTTTACCAAAATCATTCAGACCTTCTGAATTGATGGTGGTGGGTCGGTCTTGCGTTGTTTTTTCTGTTTTTTTTTTTGCTGCTTTTATTTATGTCATGTTATATGTTTTTCAGTAGTTGTATTTTCCAACATGTTTTTCAACATAAAAAAACACAAGTCAATTAAAATAACAACATAGCAAGTTCCCTATTAAAATCCCCATTAGAACATACCACCCAAACAATTTTTGAAGGGGGTAGTTCATGAGCAACCCTGATCTTCAATAGCATGTTTGCTGTAGTGGTCCTCTATTATTGTTGTGTCCAGGTTTTTTTTCGGAGGTGAAAATGTTTAGGCATTCCTTTATCCTTTCCTTTGTTATAGTTTTTCTCTTTCACTTGTTTGAATTCAATCTAATTTCCCAAAATACAGCATGCCTTATTATATCAAGCCCCATTTAAAAAAAACAACGCCCAAACAATTTTTCAAAGGGGGGGTAACCCATGAGCAAATCAATTGAAAGTAAATTGGAAAACCAATCGAAATCAATTGAAAATCAATTGAAATCAGTTGAAAATCAGTTGAAAGTAAATTGAAATCAATTGAAAATCAATTGAAAATCAATTGAAAATCAATTGAAAGTCAGTTGACCGTAAATTGAAATCAATTGCAAATCAGTTGAAACCAACTGAAAGTAAATTGAAATCAATAATCAGTTGAAATCAATTGACTCAACATTATTCAGACCCCGGTCCCTCAAAAGTTACTAGCCTAAAGAGACGCCTTCAAATGTTTGGGGGGGCCCGACACTAATCAGGATCCAACACTAATCCAAACCGTATGATTGGTAACAAATCTTGGTATGTCCAACTATATTCCATGAAATATTTGCCTTACACCCATATCCACCACATCCTCCAGTTGTGTCCCCATTGCATGGAGGGTTTTTGTACACGCAACCCCAAGCAGCTGGGCCCCATTTTCGCAAGCGAGCCGGCCGAGCCGTGCTGCCAGAGGACCTGCAGAGCAGATTCCTCCGGCACAGCGACATTGGCCATGTTCAGTTCTGAAACTTTCGCCACGGCTGCTTTTGGGACGCTTCCCTCCGCATTTTGAAAAACAATCAATACAAATATAAACATCTACAGTCTACAGTCTATATATATATATATTACTGATTATTACTGACTATCTGACAACAACATATGTGTTTTTCAAACATGTCAGGTTCATTCAGGTTATACTATTCGTGTTTTCATCTTGGTTTCTACTGTTTTCATTTCATTCGAACAACAAAAATTTGACCTAGAGAAGTCTTGAAATATGCAGCGGTATATAGAAATATAAACCTTAAATGCGTGCAAGCAAACACCGCAACTCCTTTGGCGGTACACTACAACCAGGCAAACCTGGTTCTAAAGGGTTTGATGAAGCTGGTGATTTGACACCATCCAAATATTATTTGTATCAATTTGAGACTTAGTCAGAGTCCACTGTTGCAAATCAGGATGTACGATCAATGTTAAAACAGGTCGACCAGTTGACTTGGACTTGAAGCTGTTTTCACCCATCACAGGACAAAACAACAGCGCATGCGACTGGTAATATAGCACCATCGTTTCAATGGTTCTTCCCCCAACAATGCATAAAACACCACCCCAATCAGCCTGGTTCAGTATCGAATCTATCCGTTCTTGGAGACCAGTCTGTCGGGGGGGTTCCTTTTTTAATGATCAAGGGCCTCAAGGGATGAGATATGACCGAAGGAAATTTAGAAGTCAAACTCCCGAGATGGACAGATGGAAAAGCAGAGGTGGACAGAATCATCGAAGAGAAAGGAAGAAGAAAGTAAATCAGAAAGGGAAATGTAGAAGAAAGAAGATGCAGTCGCGCGAAAAGGTAAAAGTCAAAATGTGTAGAAAACCTCCGCTCCGGAGCACTTTTGGACATTGAGCTGTGGAAAAAGTACACGCGGCTGTGGTGCGAAGCATATTTCGAAGTGAATATGCTAAAAACACCCAGCCTCGGAGCACTTTTGGAAGTTGAGAGGGCTGCGTACTTAAAACCAATTGGCTTTTTTGGCTTTTACTTTTTTCGAATTTTTGTGCTCACCTGCTCTCAAATTGTGCTTGGCTGGTGCTCAAATTGTGCTCGGCCGGTGCTCTAATTAGGCTCGACTGGTGCTCAAATTGTGCTCGGCTGGTGCTCAAATTGTGCTCGGCCAGTGCTCAAATTGTGCCCGGCTGGTGCTCAAATTGTGCCCGGCTGGTGCTCAAAGTGCTCAAATTGTGCTCGGCTGGTGCTCAAATTGTGCTCGGCTGGTGCTCAAATTGTGCTCAGCTGGTGCTCGAATTGTGCTCGGCCGGTGCTCAAATTGTGCTCGACTGTTGCTCAAATTGTGCTCCTCAGCTGTGTCGAAAAAGTGCACGGTGTTGTCAAAATGCTAAAAACACCACACGTTCGGACCCTTTGGAGGTTGAGCTGTGGAAAAAGTGCACGCTGAATCTGAAGCACATTTTGAAATCTTGCCAACAGCATTATGCGTTCGGACCGCTTTTGGACGTAGAGATGCGCAAAAAGTGCACGCTTTTGTGGCGCAAGGCACATTTCGAAGTCAACATGTGAAAAACAGACCACGTTTGGACCACTCTTGGAAGCCCAGAGATAGATACACAGAAAGGTAGATAGTCCGCTAGATAGTCGACTAGATAGATGGATTAGATTAGATGGGATTAGATCAGATTAGATTAGATTGGATTAGATTTAGATTAGATTAGATTAGAATAGATTAGATTAGACTTAGATCGATAGATAGATAATTACATAGATAGATATATAATATAGACAGAAAAACAGATAGACAAATTGATGGATGGATGAATGGATAGATAGATAGATCAATAGACAGATAGACAGATAGACACATATACAGATAGATCGGTCAGTCGAAAGATATATAAATAAGATTAGATAGGACTACATAAGATTACATACCAAGCTAGATAGGTAGATAGCTAGACATAAAGCTAGATAGATAGATAGATAGAAAGATATATCGATAGATAGATAGGTTGATAGATTGATAGATTGATAGGTTGATAGATTGATAGATTGATAGATTGAAAGATTGATGGATAAAAATATAGATAGATAGATCGAGAGATAGACAGACAAAATGATAGAAATAAAGAAAAACGAAAAATGGAAAACACATATAGATACATAGATACACAGATACATAGATACATAGATAGATAGATAGATAGATAGATAGATAGATTACATAGATAGATAGATAGATAGATAAATAGATAGATAAATAGATAGATAGATAGATCGATAGATAGACAGATAGTTAGATAGTTAAATAGATTGATCGATCGATGGATCGATGATAGATAGGTAGGTAGATATAGGTAGATAGATAGACAGGTAGATCGATAGATAGGTAGATATAAATATAGATAGATAGATATAAATATAGATATAAATATAGATAGATAGATAGATAGATAGAAAGATAGATAGATAGATAGATACATAGGTAGATAGATAGGTAGGTAGATAGATAGATCGATAGATAGATAGATATATCAATCAGATAGATAGATAAATAGATAGATCGATCGACAGATAGATAGATAGATAGGTAGGTAGGTAGATAGATAGGTCGATAGATAAATGGACAGATAGATAGATAGATAGACAGATAGATAGATAGATAGATAGATCGATCGATAGATAGATAGATAGCAAGCTAGCTAGATTAGATTAGATTAGATTAGATTAGATAAGATTAGACTAGATTAGATTAGATTAGATTAGATTAGTAGATGAGATGAGATTAGATTAGATTAGACTAGTTTAGATTAGATTAGATTAGACTAAATTAGATTAGATTAGATAGATAGGTAGATAGATAGACAGACAGACAGACAGACAGATAGATAGAGATATAGATAGTTAGATAAATAAATAGATAGATAGATAGATAGATATATAGATAGAGAGATAGATAGATAGATAGATAGAACGATAGGTAGATAGGTAGGTAGATAGATAGATAGATAGGGGAACAGACAGACAGATAGATAGAGAGATAGAGAGAAGGACAGAGAGAAGGACAGAGAGAAGGATAGAGAGAAGGACAGAGAGAAGGAAAGAGAGAAAGAAAGAGAGAAGGAAAGAGAAAAGGAAGAGAGAGGGAAAGAAAGAGAGAGAGAGAGAGAGAGAGAAAGAGAGAGACAGACAGGGACAGACAGGGACAGAGACAGGGACAAAGACAGAGACAGACAGACCCATAGCCTCAGAGCCTCAGAGCCTCAACGAGACTTCCACCACCAGCTTCTGTGATGTATATCTATTGACTTACACCTAGCATATGGTTTTTGCCCGCTCTTGTAACTCACATCACCACTTTTGGCTGCCTGGATCACCATTACAGCCATGGGATATACATCCTTCTGGTTTTTGTTGATCATCTGATCATTAGCTCTGCCCTTTGGGAAGTGGCGTTCCAAAAACACTGGTGAGTCACCAAAGGAGCACGCGCCGGACAGCGAAGTTTTCAAGGCGTGGATTCAAAGACGGACAGTTGAACCAAGACCTTCCCAGTGCAAGTTCTCAATAACATTGACTGCCTGAAACACAAAAGGCCATCAGGGGTTCAAGTTGGCATTTGGCGGAACTCCCATTGCAAAGCTGTTGGCAACTAATGTGTTTAGAGGTTTGGGTCCAGCTTTGGTCCGTCGTTCAAAACAATGAATCTGGCCAAAAAAAATATGAAATCAACCCATTTTTTGTGTGATCCTTTTGAGGAAATCGTCCACTTGTTCTTCTCATTTGTTTGTGTTTCTCCCCCAATTTGGTCAGATTCACCACTGCATTTATCGATGAGTTGGTCATCTGAATCTGCCTTAGGCAGGATCAAAATCCATGGTGGCCAACCAAAAAAGTTGGCAGTTGCCATGGAAGGAGCACACCTGTCCGAGGGACACAGATAAGGCTACCTGACTTTTTCAAAGTACCAAGCCTGTAGCTAAACATTGTTTTTATAACCGTCATGTTTTGATATGTTTTGGACATGTTTCAGGCGTGAAAGTTCAGCAAACCAAACCATTTATTGGACATAACATTGTTTCTTCATTGCTTAGGTCAATCACATTAAGTGTGTTCTCGACATTCCCCTCAGCTAGTTGGAATCACCATCATTCATGCGGATGTCTCTGTTTGGCTGGCATTCTATCCTCTGAGCTGACTTTCAGCAATTCACCCAAACCAGGAGTGCCTCCCAACTACACCCTCGAAGACGAAAACTGGCGTTGGGAGATCATTTTCCGGGACAATTCTGCCAACCCCCCAAAAAATATGCTCGTCATTGGGATCACTATATGGATCACCATGCCAAATCTATCCCAATAGTGAACATGGTTGAACTGCTTGAAGTGGTTGAACGTTAAAACACATATTTGAAACTACCGGTCAACAACTGTTTGGTTGTATCCTACTATATATAGTGTGGTAAAACCAATAATGATGAACCGTCCCGAAAATCACCATAAATGGTTCCCATAAATCATCCCCAAATGGTGGATTTATTGTTGGGTTTCCCGATGTTGCCCAAATTATCACATGTTCCAACCAGCTGGTGTTGATGATAAAGCAGACCTGCAACCTCCACCCTCCGACCTCAGACGCTTGGGCAGGGGCAGTAGCCATCCTAAGCTGAGGCTCCGCTCAAAGAACAGGCACCACACATTGAACATCCGGAATAAAACATATCCAAACTACAGGGATTTGATAGGCATATATGTTGCATTATATATATATACTTTGTATAAGGATTCAAAAGTGCAACTATGGGGATTCAAGTTCTATTTATTCTTATTGGAAATGATTTCCTACTAAAACATCTATTCAATAATGTTGTATCCTGATTAGTGTCTAGGTTCGATATTGTGAAGAAAAAACAAATTATTCTAAACCCATGCATTGTTTGGTAGGTTCGCTAGTGTGCCAAAAAATGGGATACCATGTTTTTCGTCCAAAAAAATGTTTGTGTAAAAAAATCGGCACGTTTTTTCTGAAGAAAATGTTTCTTTCCCTGTCCCAAAAGAATCAGGCCGCTTATTATACCCTTACTAAAGAACAGGTTCTCCAGAAATTTCCAAGGCACTGGGCCATGAGACGGTCCAGTTCACTTTAATTTTGTTCTCAGGGTTCACAATTGCAGCATTTTCTTCCAGAGCTGGGCCTGGAGCCAAGAGAAGAAAGGCAGGCCTTTTCCAAAAGCAATTGCAAAGTTCAAAGCCCAAGCCTTTCCCAAAAGAATCAGACCTCTTATTAAACCCTTATTAAAGAACAGGTTTTCCAGAAAATTCCAAGGCACTGGGCCATGAGACGGTCCAGTTCACTTTAATAGATTTGTTCTCAGGGTTCACAATTGCAACATTTTTTCCAGAGCTGATCCTGGAGCCACAAGAAAGCAAAGCCTTTTACAAAAACATGTTTTGTTCTTTCTATTTATCTTTCTCTTTTCCTTTCTCTTTCTCTTTCTCGTGATCGGCCTCTTCCTCTTCCTCTTCCTCTCTCTTTCTCTTTCTCTCGTTCCCTTCCTCTTTTTCTTTCTCTTGCTCTTTTTTAATTACATGTTCCATTAAATATTATAAGAAAAAACTTAAGGTGGAAAAGGTAACGCAATCAACATGCTGAACCCCATTCACTACAAATACTACAAGTACTACAAGTACTACAAATATACAAGTACTACTACAACTATCACAAGTTCATCGGCACAAAAAAAAAAATAAATTTCAATTGCCGCGAATTGCTTAGATGCGGGATCGTATTTTTTCTAGGGAACCGCTTTTCCCACCTGCCAGGTGAGGGTTGTTAGATTTTATGTCAGTTGCCTCCTCCTGCCTCCTCCTGACTCCTGCCTCGTCCTCCTCCTCCTCTCCTCGTCTCCTCTCCTCGTCTCCTCTCCTCCTGCCCCTGCCGGACCTCAACCACGACCATCCACCCCAGTGTTCCCTGCCGGACCTCAACCACGACCATCACCGCCAGTGTGTTCCCTGCCGGACCTCAACCGCGGGTATCCCCGCCCAGTGTTCCCTGCCGGACCTCAACCACGACCATCCACGCCCAGTGTTTCCTGCCGGACCTCAACCACGACCATCCCCGCCCAGTGTTCCCTGCCGACCTCAACCACGACCATCCACGCCCAGTGTTTCCTGCCGGACCTCAACCGCGAGTATCCACGCCAAGTGTTCCCTGCCGGACCTCATGTAGGAAGATATGGGACAAAGAATGCCAGATAGAATGCCAGAAGAAAGCCAGAAGATATACCAGATAGAATGCCAGATAGAATGCCACAAGATATGCCAGATAGAATGCCAGAAGATTTGCCAGATAAAATGCCAGAAGATATGAAGATATGCCAAAAGATATGCCAGAACAAATGCCAGAAGATATGCCAGAGAGAACGCCAGAAGATTTGCCAGATAGAATGCCAGAAGATATGCAAGATAGAATGCCAAAAGATATGCCAGATTTAGAAGGCCAGTAAGAATGTCGGAGTAGAATGCCAGTAATGTGTAGTAATGCCGAAGGAATATTTGCCAGACACGAGAGTACTGCCAGATAGAATGCCTAGATTAGAATTGCCAGATTAGATATGCAAAGGGAGAGATATGCCCACGAAAGAATATGCCAGGAAGAATATCAGCCCAGATAGTAGCGAATCCGCCATCGACTAGAGATGGCCAGGACAAGATACGTTGTTCAGATAGAACTTGGGCCAAGAATGATTTGCCAGGGAAGAAAATGCGAGTTGCCTATAGAATTAGCTGTTCGATGGTCGGGGATCACATAAGAAAGGAAAGTAAGTGTGCCACCCTGACTCTTGTTGAGGGGGGGGCCGCGCTACACAAATAGCGATTGAACTACCCCTGATTCATGTGTAAAAAATCAATAAAACCACCCCCTATTAGCAAATGACCCTGATCCTCCCGAGTTTTTTTGGGCAGTACAAAAGTCAAATCCGCCCCCACCGATGCCGAGGCGTGATAGCTTGGGAGCCGCGACAATCTGTTCAACTGGTGCTGCTTCAGCTCGGGGGGCATTTTCGGACAGAGCAGGCCGCCAAAAAGTGCACGGGATTGTGCGAATTTTGATAATTTTGCGTATGGGCCCAACATCGTCCAAAGTTCCCGTTTCGATCCGACATGGCCGCGGATGGACACCACATAAAAACCATGCGATGCGCAACTTGAAACCCTTTGGCGACAGCTTTGCCATTTGCACCAAGCTGGGCCCAACGGAGACACAACACGCCGCTCAACACACGAAAAAAAAAACGTGGGAAAACACGTGTTTTGCAGATTTCGGATTGGGCCGGCCATGTCCAAGCCCACTGATAACTTGTATTTTTGCTGCTATTTCCAACGTTGGCTTTGATGGGGGTTCGTGCAAGGCCATGTTCCCCACATTGGCTCTGTCTTCGGCTTCGGTGACAGGTGCCCCCACACAGGACCAAGTTGCTTACGTTAAGCCGAGTTAAGCCCCACTTGCGTCCAAACGTGCCCAAGTTGCGCCATGTTGGACCCCAGTTGGGCGCAAGTTGGGCCCAAGTTGGCCAAATGGCCCGAGATCGGCGCAAGCTATGCCCAAGATGAGCCCAAGCTGGCTCCTGTTCGGCCCAACTTAAGGCCAAGGACGAAGTTTGACCCCAGTTGGCTTTGGTTGGGTCAAATAGGCACGCTCCTTTCCTCTCTGTCCTATTGACTGGGTGCGGGCGGTACTCGTTGCAACGCGACTCGAATAAATCAAGTGGCTTTTCCCCCCCGCTTTAGTGGTACTAATATTTAAACTATGTTCCAGTTGGAGAACTTATTATTGATCTCTCGTGGTTTGTTACACCACGAAAAAGGCAAAAAGAAACAAAATGAAAAATATCAATTGTTTACTGCTTGTTCAACATGACAGTGTTAACAGCATTTAAAAGCTCATATAGAGGGCACCCTGCATGAGTAGTGGCCCCCCCAAATCAAAAGTGCACCCCAATGAATAAAGCCTGCCTCAGCCCTGTTTCGTTTTGCCATTTTCGCTTCTCTTTTCCCTTTTCCTTTCAGCCATAGTGTGAAGTCTATTAATTCGGGGTAGTTCAGAAGATGCATCCAAAAACCTGACTGACCTTGTTGACAGGGTTGGGACCCCCCCGTTTCATTAGAGCTTGCCACTACACTGAATTTCCCAGCTTGCCACATTTGATGACCACGGATGGGTCAAAACCTAGATGGACTCATAGCCAGTTCTACCCCAATTTTGGGCATGAAAGTGGGTAATGGCCATCACTCATTGGCCATCAGTCACCTACCCTCTGGTAATCTAACAGTTCGCTATTGAAAATGGTCATTTATAGTTGATTTACCCATGAAAAATTGTGATTTTCCATAGCAAAATGTTAGTTTACCAGAGGGTAGGCTGCCAGGGTTTTGACTCATAGCCATCACTTCTACCAACCCATCACAAGGATCTGCGCAGGTGGTCGTCAACTGGTCTGTAGGCTTCTCCCAGACCAACTCCGTCGCTTGAGTGGCGGGGAAGTGCTCGTTTTCGAAGCACGACCCATCCTCAACGCCATGGGTCATGGAGATTTATCCATCGAAAATTGGGGTTTCAGATGGCTAAGGCTAAGGGCAACTGGTGGAGTTGAGAACAGCGCTTTTTTTGTCGGATTTTGTCCATCGAACATGAAGAGTTAACCCATGAATCATGGATATTAGGGAGATTTCCTGAACAAATTGGGCCCAACCTAAAAAGGTGCTGCTGTTGCGTTAAAACATCGTCCATATTTCTGTCGGTCGTTTCAAATCACACTTTCTTAACGTTCTGCCAGTTGTGGATTGGTGGTTTCCAACCCATCTGAGCATATTAGCGGCACGATTTGTTCATAGATCGAATCATAAACATGTATAAAAGTTGGTTCTTAGTGGGACAGCAAATAATTCTCCATTAAAATTGGGAAAATAGGACAATGATACATAAATCCATCAAATGATCAATCACCTGGCAAATGTTTTTTTTTACGTGCAGCAGGGTTGGCATCCATCAAATGATCAATCACCTGGCAAATGTTTTTTTTTACGTGCAGCAGGGTTGGCAGCGTGACTTAAGGTCAAGACCACCTCCAGGTGATGGCTTAGATATCATGTTGTATTTTGCAATATATATCTTAAAAAAAAAACGTGCAACACGTAAGGAACCTCCATAAGCCACCCAACAATTCTATCATATGCTATTTATACCTGAAATCTTAAAGAGGTGCGAAATCTATCGAAATCTCATATGGCACTGAACACACAGTTGTCACGTTGTCCAATTCAGTGTCACAGTGTCTGCATGTGCCGGGGTTTGTTGGCTCGTCCTATTTTGATTTGGGATCCTTTGAGGCAAACGTGCACCTCACATGGGTCTCAGAGAGTCTCAATGTTCGATCGATATGGGATCCAAAAATATATGGTCATTTTATGTTGACACTCATGATAATCCATTGGAAATGGCAGTTCAAACAAACTAATTTGAAGCAGATTTAGAAAGATATCTCGGACGACAAGAGAAAACAGAGAAAACATGCCTCTGCGATAACAAGGAGCGTGAAATGATAGCTTTGAAATTACCCAAGACTGCCCCTGCAATCAAATCTCTATGTAGATCGATGCAAGCGACTCGTACGCATGTGTGGGTGACTTGCACGTTCTGTCCCCAATGTAAAGTGCTGCACCCGCAAACAACTCTGAGTAGTTGAAGCATGGGCGACTTAAAGTGTGACCCCTTGGGTACGCCAGAAACATGTTGAATATATAACTGCATTCTACATGAATCCCTATCGGTCCAAGTCCTCGCTACACCAAAAAGGCCTTTGCTAAAACCGTGCTTCAACCAGGCCTTTAGGACTGAGACTTTCTATGGTTTTCTCTATGTGATTATTATTGAGGTCGTATTTTGGTGAGACTTAGCCAAGCAAGGTCCCACCCCGAAAGATACCACATGCTTCAAAATCAAGGGCGTACCTTCGAGATTTTAGAAAATAACGATGCCATGAAAAAAAAAACGTGAAAAGGCAAAACAGTGAAAACCCCGTGAAAAGGCCCCGCAAAATCAGGTTTGTACGAAAAGGGGAACATGTTTTTACATGTTTTTGCACGTTTTGCGATTTTGAGACACACTTTTCTCGTCAGTGCTCCCGCTGTATGTGACTGCCGCTTGTCTTACGGATTTTTTTGCATCTATTCAAGGTACAAGATTTTGGAAGCTTTTAGTCATTTGGGTCCTTTTCTCAAACGGCCGCGTTAAACTCATCTTTTGGACTGACTCGGAATTATCAATTCAATATCTATCAATTATAGGTTGATCCATGTTGATCCTTTCCCCCTAAACATCAAAAGTTCTGGTTTAGTACTCACCGAGACTCACATCCCTGATCCCATCTATGCCGAGATACAAAGCCGTGCTTCACGCAGATGTCGTAGTAGTCCTTGGTCAAGATAAACTTGTCAATGCACGGGTTCAGGATCTCCGACAAGCCGGAACCTGGACTGGTTCTCCGATTTTGTCTCGATTTTGTGGGGCAAGCCCAAGCCCCCCATGGAAAAACAACATGGTGTCATTTAACTATGAAACACTGATTCATTCACTGAAAGATCATAATATACATGTCATTACGTTGCATGGTTTTGTCTCAAGCCCTGGCAAAAATTCACACGATCAGTATGGCAATATTGATTGGAAAAACATGTATATTAGTTTTCTATCGTCATATCGTTCCATCGTTCCATCGTTCTATCTACCTATCTATATATCTAACTACCTATCAACCTATCCAACTATCTAGCTATCTACCTATCTATCAACCTATCTACCTACCTACCTATCTACCTATCTACCTATCCATTGGTCTATCTATCTACCTGCCTACCAACCAATCTATCTACCTACTTATCTATCTACCTACTACCTATCTACCTATTCAATGGCCATTTCAGGAACCTAAATTGGAGGCACCTACCATATATAAGGCTTATGTAAGGGCTATGTAAGGGGATATACCCCAAAACTATGGCCTTATATGGTACAGTACCACCATCTTAGGACCCTGGAATTACCATTGACCTATCTATCTACCTACCTATTTACCTATTTAACTATTGACCTATCTATCTATCTATCTATCTATCTGACAACCTACCTATCTACCTATATACCTATCGACCTACCTACCTTTCTACCTATTTATCTGCCTATCTATCTACCTATCTACCTATCTATATGTCTATTTACCTACCTATCTACCTATCTATCTACCTATCTATCTACCTATCTACCTACCTATCTATCTACCTACCTATCTATCTACCTACCTCTCTACCTATCTACCTACCTATCTATCTACCTATCTACCTACCTATCTACCTATATTTCGATCTATCTATCTGTCTATCTAAATATATATATATATATCTATTTATCTATCTCTCTACCTCCCTACCTACCTACCTACCTACCTACCTACCTACCTACCTACCTACCTACCTACCTATGTGTGTATATATATATATATCTGTCTATCTATCTACCTACCCACCTAAATACTTATCTATCTATCTACCTATCTACCTACCTATCTGCCTATCTACCTATCTACCTATCTACCTATCAATCGATCTATCTACCTATCAACCTATCGACCTATCGACCTATTGACCTATCGACCTATCGACCTATGGACCTATCGACCTATCGATCTATCAACCTATCGACCTATCGACCTATCTATCTTTCTATCTGTATGTTTCTATCTTTTTAACATTCTATCTTTACATCTATCTATCCTATCTATCCTATCTATCCTCTCTGTCCTATCTATCCTATCTAACCTATCTCTCCTATCTATCCTATCTATCCTATCCTATCCTATCTATCCTATCCTATCCTATCTATCTTTCCATGAGGCGCCCTATTGTGAGACCGGGACCCAAGACAGGACATTTTTAGGTGACCCTTTTGAATGATTCACCACCGACAAAGGGGAGTTGGATAAATCCCACCAAGGATGAACAGAAATCATCATGAATCTGCATAAATGAGAATAGCTTGAGGATGAATAGTTCACCGTTCAGATTTCAATATAAGGCCCCCAATCTTCCCGAAATAAGGCCTCCTGTGGGATAGTTCACCCTTAGTAACCATCGTTCTAGTGACGTCGCAACATGATTTCGTGAACACCAGCTGGGCATAGAAACACGCCACACTGCCACCGGGAATGACCCGAAAAAGTGTTTCAGTATGTTTCAGCTCTGCAAATGTCAGTGTCTAGAGGATGTCCACATCCCAATGAAGGATAGATGATAAAATGCTGATCTTCAATGATGGTAGTTTACTGATAATAATCCAGGGATATAATGACATTTAGAGATAATGATCCAAGGGTATTACGGTATAATGACAAGTTCTGTAAGAATTCAAACAAGTGCTCAATGATTCAAATGATCCAATGTTTCATCAACAAGATAATCTGATCTTAATCAGCTTGGCGACCAAGTCATTGTGTCATCGATATCACCAGCACTAGTAGTTGGTTTATCATCCAGTAGTCGACCTTTAGAAATAGAAACCAACCGTAGTCACTAAAAAAACCTAACAACATACTATTCTTCAAAATTGAGTCGCTTCCCAAGCTAACCATCAATCTTGAAGCTTGGCTAGGAGGTTGCTTTGCAAAAAAAAAGTGTATGGAATTAGAATGTAAATAGCTATACACTATACCCGCCAGGAATTTCACTGTTTGCTATGGAAACCATGGCCCCTGGCTAATTACATATTCACTAGTTGATTCTTGAGTACTCACGAATGACCAGAGGGTAAACATTGTCTCGTGGAAATTGCCACTCTCTTCACAATGGATCTTCGGGTTTTAAACCAAAACATAAAACATAAGAAAACAAATAGGAGCCAACATCTCCAACAGGTGTCCTAATATGATGTCCATCTCCAATCAGTGATGGATTCATGTGGGTTATTGACTGACGGTTAGTATGTGTAATCATGACTAGCATGAACAGCCCACATTCATTAGGAACTATTGGCTACTTTAATATATACAGTATATACATAAATAATCAGTAACCAAATCACCATCATGAGTAATGAGGGATCAATATTAGTAATCATCATTAGTTACCAATACCTCTTGATACTACTGACCAACCTAATTATATCTGATTATATAGACTGATGATGGATCAATGACCATTGCTACACTCTGGCCCTTGCCCAGTATGTTTGGTACAACATCACCAGTTGGTCAGTATCCCACGGCATTTCTTACGCAAACGGAACAGGCAATAAGTTTACAGTCGCATATGCATGGCTTAATCACTCACAATCTCCATAATTCCTGGTTCAATCCAGCTGTTTGCTGCTCTTATTCTCCTCTTTGGTGGCTATTCCATTGCATCTTGGGACCGAAAATAAATGAACTTATGTAAATCTATCAATAGCAGACAATAACAAACACAAATCTGATCTAAGAACAAGGTTTAAACGTTAGTCATCCTTAGTTGGACCCTTGATATTAGATTGGTACGCACCCATGCTACTGGTCACTAGCTGAAATCTACATCTTTGCTGGTTCACATTCACATCCTTTTTCTCTTACAGTACCTAGTTTTGGGTAACCAAAAGTATCATCCCCGTACACTTGCAAACCCCCCCAAAAAAACATGGTGACTTAAGGCATCCCCATGTTTTTCAAACCATCAAGGCCCCAGCAGTGCGCCATGGAACCCTTCTTGGACATGGACAAGGTAGTCCCTGCCATGGCGTGCCCAAAGAGACCTGTCTGGATGTAGGCGAAGGTGGTGCCAAAGCCAGCCTTAGCGCGGAGCACAAACCGCGAAATACGAGCAAAACAAACAAAACGTACCAAAAAAAATGGCCAATCTGAGATATCATGCCATGTGTATTCATGTTTCTACGTATGTAGAATATGCGTATATATATATATATGTTTATTATATGGTACGCATATTGTATGTATGTCTGTCTGTCTGTCTGTCTGTCTGTCTGTCTGTCTGTCTGTCTGTCTGTCTGTCTGTCTGTCTGTCTGTCTGTCTGTCTGTCTCTCTGTCTGTCTGTCTGTCTGTATGTATGTATGTATGTACGTATGTCTGTCTGTCTGTCTGTATGTATGTAGGATGCATGCATGCATGTATGTATGTATGTATGTATGCATGCATGGATGTATGTATGTATGTATGTGTGTATGTATGTATGTATGTATGTATGTATGTATGTATATACTGTAAATAAATATATACACAGTATGTGGTACACATATAAATATATATATACAATGTAATACGCATATAGTATGTATATAGTAATATCTAGTTGTGGAGCAAGCACTCTGCAAGAAATTAAAGCATGAAACTGCAAAACATTTTTTCCCATGAGAACCACAAAGAAAAACATCCATTCACATCATTTCACATCCACAAAACCAACTAAGGGTCCTGATCGGGTGCAAGGATTGTCGAACAATGGGATACATAATACATATATATATATATACCACTATATATATAAATATATTTCAATGACTATGAATGTGCCATACTGTACCCACAAAAAGCCGGTCATGTTTTTGGTACTTATCCAAAGGGCAGGGGAATTCACCCTACCTCTTGAAACCACATGATTTTTGTCAGCAAGAAATAATTGGAGGAAAGACCTGGTGACCAAGCGCAAGAAAACATGAATGAAAGATGCAACCTGTCGCAGCTCAAGGCGCTCTGTGCAGAAAGCAAAACGCATATACCATGGACCCAAAATTGGGGCCACAAATTTGGAAGCTGGGCTACCAATTTTAATATTGTGGCCCCATTTTTGGGTCCAGAATCTGGCCCCTGTTTTGGGGCCACAAAACACAAACAGGAGCTATTCAATACGGGCAGCAAGTGTGCTACTGCTGCCGCAAGCTGACAGCAGCACATATCCGTGATACTGTGTGTATATATATATATAAAAACCGGTTGTTTTGCATTGCAACGCATGCTTACCGGAAGGAAACTAACCATTGATGAAGGGATAACGTGGATGATTCATCCTAAGCCGGGCTGAAGACATTGAACATATTTAGTTGCACAAACTATCTCCCTCGGCAAAAAGAAATACCAGTACTTACCCTCTGGTAAACGTTTACATAGCTATGAAGCATCACCATTCTTCAAAGGCAAATCATCCAATTAAACGGGCCATCTATACATGAAGAATGCCGAGCGACCCAGAGGTCGCAGTCCCAGTTGGCAGTCACGCCCTCGGAGCATTGGTAGTTTTTGGCCTGATCCGCATAGACCCACATGGCATCCGCGTCGCCGTTCAGCAAGGTGGCAAGCGCATCCTTAGCAAAAACATGCAAAAACAAAGTGACTTCAGGGATACCTGGGGCAGTCTTCACTGAGCGCTCAGGTAAAAGATTGGGCATATGTGGCAGTGATGGAATAAAGTCAAATAAAATACCTTTACACGAGCCCCTTGTCATAGTTTTTCCTCCAATATTGATCGGATATATGTATACTAGCTGGTCGATCGGATTTCCCAGCTGGAAAGTGATTTGCTCCATGGTGATCCCCATCAAATATCGGATTGTATAACCCCATAAAAATGCAATAAGATCATATATGGTGTTCTTTTATAATGGTATATTGGATATACAATCATATGGTTGGATAATATATATATATATAATCATCAACCAATCCTTCTTTTTCTCTTGGACCCTTGGAGATGACACCATGGTGTTCTTCTGCCAGGAATCTCAGGAATTGGGTATCCTCACAACATCCCTTCTGCCAGCCATTTTAGCTCTCAGTGCTACACAGGGATTGGACAATTCCTTCTTGGTACTTAGGTTTATCCAGAGCTACTAGGTAGGTGATACCCAAAAATTTCATGCTGATCATCCTTTTCTGCATCAGAATTGCCATCTGTGGACGGCGAATGCATGTTTATTGGCCACATATCATATCATTTTGTCGAAAAATTGGTTGCTAACCGTAAAACTGGTCACACCATAATGGGAAACATATTTATCAAATCAAATATCATCAACCATCATCAACCATCGTATTTGGCTGTGTTTGGAGGTTTTCCCACTATATTCAGGTAGAAAAACAACGCACGCGTGGGTTTGCCCTAAAATAGGGTACCCCAAAATTTTATGGTTCATCATTTCCCTATGAAATTCACTGAGATTCCATATCACCATCTAAATTCTGGTTGAATCAAATTGTCACCAAAGTTTTTTTCGTTCAACAAGCGTCATTGTTTGCGTTGGCCGTTGTCACGGTGGGCTGCACCATGGTAAATCCTGTGAAGCGCTCCTTGGTGCATTTGTTCTCGGCCAGGGCCAAGGTATCAGCGGTGGGGGCCCAGCCCACCACGTCCACCACTTTCAGGCCTCGTTCGACATGGAGAGATGCGGATTTTCCCGGGAATGGATGGACAATGATGGACATCTAAACAGATTTCTTTAGGTGAGCCATCCCTACTTTTCGCGAGTTCATTTTGAATATTTAGTTCGAAGTTTGAAACATGTTAGACACAAATCATGATTTCATGGTGGTCATAAATGATGCAGAGCGAAACAAGAACACCAATTGCAAACATCAGTGAGGGCAAATCACTTTCAGTAACAAACGCACGTTTTTGAGATGATTGTTCGAATGAACAACTTGGCACAGAGTCCTAAAAAAACATGCCCCAATAACCGCCTGGCAAAACCCATTGTAAATACAAACGCAGTTTATTTAACATATCATCAAAAAATAATTTGTATAACCGCACAGGCATCGAAAACCCAAGATTATCCGGGGATCAACTAGGATCATGCGAAATGCCTGAGATGTGTTCGATCCAGAGTCGACCAACATCAAAAACAACTCAACATCATATCCAGGATTGAATTTGTTAATGCGTTGTTGTTTTATATATATATATATGTAAAATGCTGTTGATGAATATGTGTATATATATATACACACTTAATTATACTTATATAATATTACATGATATTTGCTTGTTTAGTACATGCATATTTGTTTTAGATTGGATATATAAAGAAACTCAAATATATCTTAAGTAGTAGCGAGTCATCAACGCTGCGGCTAACGAATCGAGCAACCATTGAGGTTATTGGCGCCGTTGATGACTGGAACACCATTCTGCAAGCGCACAAGAAGGCCTCAGTCAAAGTTGTCGCGGTCAAAAATGGTGGAGCCGTCAGCCACTCGTCATACTGGTCTTCGGTAATCAAACATGGCTGAGAAATCCTTGATCAATGGACTGCTAATTGGAAAAACATATAATGTGGAGGATGTTCTATTGCCTTGTTTGATTACCGAAGGGTGTATTATGGTGTGTATATAAATACCTTGACCCACAAGTGGTACCTAAATTTATGCTCCGTGGAAATGCGCACAAAAAACGCTAGCTGCCAAGTGCGTTTGTTGCATTCAAAATGCTCGATATTTCTTGAAATGTCAAAACATCACCAGTTACCCCACAAATGCTCCAGCAGCACGCTTTGCCCTGGGAAAAATAATCTCTGAGGTATAGTCAAATCCTGACAGCCTTGAGGTAGTCGAAACAACAAAGGGGTCACCAAACATTGGTGACATCAAAATACATGAGCCAAAAGCCCTCATAATGATCAGAAGTGAACAAAGGGCAGATCTGAAAATGCAAGTGGTACCTTTTTTTTATGTGCGCTCGTTTGCGCGAATTTGTGCCTGTTTTGCGCGAATTTGCAATCGTTTTGCGCCTATTTTGTGGGCACTCCAGCCTTGTTTTTTAAAAAATGTTCGATTTGCAATGACAAATGCCACCGCCAACTGAAAAGCATCGCAGCTCAGTCAGCATTCAAACCCTCAAGGCTGGTATTTTTGCGTTCAGTCCGATCCAGTTACGCACAAGTGCACAAGAAACACACACACCGGCCTCATCTTGAGACCTGAGGGGACATGGAACCCATGCGGCCCACAGGGAGCAAAAAATGCTCGAGTTTCCAAAAAACGCAAATAGCACAAACTCAATCAAACTAAAAATTTTCGCTCATTGCTCCAAATTGCGCTCGAATGTGGATGGGATGTAATTTTAAGCACCAATTGAGGGTCCAGGTGTATAATATATATATATATATATGTGTATATATATGTGTATATATATATGTATATATATATATGTATATGTGTGTAAATAAATAAATAAATATATATATATATATATATACATCATGTACATACTACATATATATCTATATACAATTATATATATGTGTATATATACATATGTATACATTGGACATATATGTATATATATATATTTAATTAGATAGATAGATAGATAGATAGAGAGATAGATAGATAGATAGACAGATAGGTAGATAGGTAGATAGGTAGATAGGTAGGTAGATAGATAGATAGATAGATAGATAGACAGATAGGTAGATAGGTAGATAGGTAGATAGGTAGATAGATAGATAGATAGATCGATAGATATAATTATATATATATACACATCTGAGCATCATTGTCACACATCCCAGATGTTTCTTCATCAAACCGACATAAGCTTAGCGCTGTCCCTCAACCTCTCAGTG